TGTGCTCTACTTTGATTTGGTACAAAAGGCGGCAGGGATTAGACAGGTTCTAATGGGAAAGGCATAGGAAGTAATTAATAAGCAGCATTGTTATCTATTATTTACAGAGGGCCAACCATAACCTAAGGGGTAAATACCTGGCTCTTTACCAATGAGTTTACTTTTCAAGATTATTATTACTATTATTATTACACTCACCCAGGCTGGAGTGCAATGGCGCGATCTCGTCTCACTGCAACCTCCACCTCCCGGGTTCAAGCAATTCTCCTCCCTCAGCCTCTAGTAGCTAGGACTATAGGCGTGTGCCACCATGCCCAGCTATGGGGTTTCACCATGTTTACCAGGAGGGTCTCAATCTCCTGACCTCGTGATCTGCCCACCTCAGCCACCCAAAGTGCTGGATTACAGGTGTGAGCCACTGCGCCCAGCCTATTTCAAGATTTTTAAACATGGGGCAGGCCGGGCACAGAGACTTATGTCTGTAATTCCAGCACTTTAGGAGGCCGAGGTGGAAGGATCACTTGAGGTCAGGAGTTCAAGACCAGCCTGGGCAACATGGTAAAACCCTATCTCTACAAAAAATATAAAAATTAGTCCAGCGTGGTGGTGCATGCCTATAGTCCCAGCTACTTGGCAGGCTCAGGTGGGAGAATTGCTTGAGCCCAGGAGTTCGAGGTTGCAGTGAGCCACAACTATGCCACTGCACTCCAGTCTGGGTGACAGAGCAAGATGCTATCTCAAAAAGCAAACAAACAAAAAACATGGAATGAAGGAGAGGAAGGAGGAGCGGAGCACAGCACACACACCGTGAACTGGCTTGTCTCAAAGCAGAGCCATTGTCCCTGGGGCTCTGGGTACTTGGCTGAGGCTGCAGGTTGGACCCTAATCCCAGAGCCTCATTCTGATGGAGGCTTCAGCCACACACCTTCAGCCATACAACATACAGGGAGTTGCTTTCATGCTGGATTTCAGGGAAAGGAAAGCAATCTATTAGAGGCATAGAGATGCACCTGTTTGCATCTCCATTTTCAGTTCTTTGGAGTGTACACCCAGAAGTGAAATTGCTGGGTCATATTGTAACTCTCTGTTGAACTTTCCAAGGAACTCATCCTCGGAGCATTTGGAACTGTTGATGAACTGAATCAAACTAAAGCTGAAAACAAAGCCCAGACCCAGGTCGACCACAGGGCAGATGATTCATGCAGCAGCCACACCAGTGGCCTCACAGGAGCGGGGCACACCCTTTATTGCAGCAGTCCCCAACTTTTTTGACACCAGGAACTGGTTTCATGGAAGACAATTTTTCCATGGATGGTGGTGGGTGCGGGGGTGGTTTTGGGATAAAATGCTTCCACCTCAGATCATCAGGCATTAGATTCTCATAAGGAGCACACAACCTAGATCCCTCACATGTGTAGTTCACAATAGGGTTCCTACTCCTATGAAAATCTAATGCAGCTGCTGATCTGACAAGAGGCGGAGCTCAGGCCATAATGCTCATCCACCCATCGCGTACCTCCTGCTGTTCAGTCCAGTTCCTAACAGGCCACAGACCAGTACTGATTCACCACCCAGGGGTTGGGGACCCCTGCTTTATTGGACATAATTATTAGGTCGTGTTCTTTTTGGTGTTGTTTGTACAGCTCTATTGAGGTATAATCCACATGCCATAAAATTCACCCCATTTGTAAGTGTATGATTCATGGCTGTCAATTAAAAAGTTGTAAAACCATCATTACAATTCAGATTTCTTATATTTCCATCATCCCCCAAAAATCCCCTCGAGTTCCTTTGCAGTCAAAGCCATCCCCAATTTCAGGCAACTACTGGTCTGATTTCTGTCTTTTTCTATTTTCCTTTTCTGGACATTTAATGCATATGGAGTCACAGCATATGTAGTCTTTGGCATCTGGGGTAGCAAGTACGAATATTAGTCTGCCAGCTCAGATGCATATAAAAATATTACATATCTTTTCTTTTTTCTTTCTCCTTTCTTTTTCCTTTCTCCTTTCTTTCTTCTTTCTTTCTTTCTCTCTCTCTCTCCTTCCCTCCCTCCCTCCCTCCCTCCCTCCCTCCCTCCTTCCTTCCTTCCTTCCTTCCTTCCTTCCTTCCTTCCTTCCCTCTCTTTTTCTTTCTTTCTTTTTGGACAGAGTCTCACTCCTTGGCCCAGGCTGGAGTGCAGTAGCACCATCTTGGCTCATCGCAACCTCTGCCTCTCAGGCTCAAGCGATTCTCCTGCCTCAGCCTCCTGAGTAGCTGAGATTATAGGCGCGCACCACTACTGCCTGGCTAATTTTTATATTTTTAGTACAGATGGGGTTTCACCATGTTACCCAGGCTGGTCTTGAACTCCTGACCTCAGATGATCCTCCCAAAGTGCTGGGATTACAGGTGTGAGCCACCGCCCCAGGCCTCTTTACTTTCTTTAAACCCAGTTCTACAGGGGTGTAGGGAAACCTATTTTCAGGCACCACTGGGGTCTGGAGAGGGGAGGTCTCCTTCTCTGAGGCCATGCAAAACTCCAGGAAGGCTTTTGGTACCCATTGAAGTAAGGGCCATTTATTTTTCATCCCAGCAACCTTGCCACTGATACCCTCATTATCAAATGGTTCTTCTAGGGAACAGGTTCTGCTGTTGCCAATGACAAGCCTGGGCAGCAGAATCTGCAGAAGGTTCCCGAGGTCCAGTAGGTGCAACCCAAGAGCTTGCTGTCTGTTTGGGTGCTGCAGGGACTAAGGCTTGAGTCCTTGAGGCTCATAAGACCACCATCCCACTCCTCCTCCCAATCTGGTGGCGGGGGAGTCATTCCTCCCTCCAACTGCTGTGAAAGCCTCCACCCCACCCAGCTCTGGCTCCTCTTCCTCCGGGACATCTGGGGTAGATCATGGATATATTGAGATCAGGCTTTCTCAAAAGACAAGAAGAAAGGCTGTACTTCTAAGAGCTGTTGCCAGGAGTCCAGCCAACACTCCTGAAGGTAGGAAGCCCGAAGGGACTCGTTGCGAACTCCAAACAGAGGAGATTGGGGTGGAAAGGAACACGAGGAACATCAAACACGGATTAGGATCTCACTAAACACCCTCCCACACTGCTCTACATTTACCCACCACAAAACCACATCAGCAAATCAGCTAAGAGCATGCTATTATTTCAGTGTTTTCACTGCATTTAGATTCCATCTACCCATGGAAGTGTGCAGGAGGATGGAGTCACCAAACGGGACGATCCAGGCTAAGAAACAGCACCAGCTCTAACACAAGCAACAGCAACAAACACCATGTGCCAGGCATTTTTCTAGGTGTTGAATACATATTTCCTCTTTAATCCTCTCAGCATCCTTAGGTGAGGGCTGTGGGTCCAAATGCCTTATTTAAAAATTTGGGGTGGCTGCACACTGTGGCTCACACCTGTAATCCCAGCATTTTGGGAGGCCAAGGCGGGTGGATCACCTGAGGTCAGGAGTTCAAGACCAGGCTGGTCAATATGGCGAAACCTCATCAATACTAAAAATGCAAAAATTAGCTGGGTGTGGTGGCACATGCCTGTAATCCCAGCCACCCTGGAGGCTGAGGCAGGAGAATCGCTCGAAACCAGGAGGTGGAGGTTGCAGTGAGCTGAAATTATGCCACTTGACTCCAGCCTGGGCAACAGAGCAAAACTCTACCTCAAAAAATAAAATAAAACCTTTGGGTCAAGCCCTGCTTTAGAGTCCAGAATTTTGGGGATTTTCAAAAGGCTATTCAATGCATGGGATTTATATCACATAACACCCTGACAGGGTCTGATGCAGTTCTCCTATTGACTAATCGATTTTCCTTCACAAAACAAATTTAAAAATCACATCAAGGGATCTAAATAAAGACTGTAAATAGTTTTCCATCAGTTGGGTCAGGTCAGGAAAAAAGGTTTAGTCCTTAGAACTTTCTGGATTTGGGAGCATACTATACTCCCCATTTTACAGATAAAGGGAATGAGGAAGGGTAAGATGAAGTAACTTGGTCAAGGTCCTATAGCTAAGAAGTGGCTGGGGGGGAAGTGTGTGTGCATGGGTGTGTGTAGTGCCTCAGGGCACCCCCCATCCCCGCACCCCACCACTGGGAGCAAGGGTTCAGGAGGAAACAACTTTGACTGCTTTCTCTACCAGAAACTCACCTTGAGCCTCCCACACCAAAGTCATGGGCAGCTTGCGGGTGACCTCCTTCCCTTGGCTCATAGTTTCACTGATGCTCATTTTAATTCACTTTCATAGGGTTGTTTTGTTCTCGTTTTGTTTTTGTTCGAGACAAAGTCTCCCTCTCGCCCAAGCTGGAGTGCAGTGGTACAATCACAGCTCATTGCAGCCTCTCCCTCCTGGGCCCAAGCAATCCTCCTGCCTTGACCCCCCAAAGTGCTGGGATTACGGGTGTGAGCCACTGTGGCCCACCTATAGGGTTTTAAATAGTAAAAGGAGCCTAGTGAAGTACGACTTACCCCCAGGAACCCCTTACAGGCCCCGGAGGGACTCTCTTCCGCCGATCCCAGGGTACAGCTGTGACGCCATCTTTTCTGCCTGGATTATCCCAGTAGTTAAACAAAAATTAGAGAACGTCATTCCATTTCTCTCTGTATATATTTTTCCAAGCCCTTTTCACGAATGATCAGTTATTTCCTGCACTGAATTTTTTTTTTTTTTTTTTTTTTGAGACAGAGTCTCACTCTGTCACCCAGGCTGGAGTGCAGTGGCACTATCTCGGCTTACTGCAAGCTCTGCCTCCCCGGCAAGCGATTCTTCTGCCTCAGCCTCCCGAGTAGCTGGGACTACAGGAGAGCACCATCATGCCTGGCTAATTTTTGTATTTTTAGTAGAGACAGGCTTTCACCATATTGGCCAGGCTGGTCTCAAACTCCTGACCTCGTGATCTGCCTGCCTCGGTCTCCCAAAGTGCTGGGATTACAGGCGTGAGCCACCGCGCCTGGCCCTCCTCCACTGATTTAAAAAAAAATTTTTTTTTTAAAATTCTCTTTCTCCCCACTCCCACCCCCAGGCTCACTCCTTATAAAGCAGCCTCTAGCCTCATCTGCCCCTCCTACACCACACCAACTCTAGGGCCCGGAATTGGGTCTGGGGCAGTCCCTGACTTGCTTGCTTCCCTGCCTTGCTCTTGCGGTTAGCCTCAGAAGCAGGGTTGAGGGTCAGGCTTGGTCAGGCAGCGGGAGGTCCAGACAGTGAAGCGGAATCCTTCGGAGATACCAGTAGAGGGCGCATCTGCCTTTTTCTATTTCAGATTAGAGTTTTTTTGCTTTTGTTTTTCTCTCTCTCTCTCCTTTGCGTTTCCTTCCTGCCAGTGAGCAGCGTGGATGCGCAACCACGTGCTCTTATTCTCACTGATTTGGGCGGTGCCAGCGCCTCCATTTGTAAATCTAGTTCTTCCCGGATTTCACGCCCTTCTTGGGTTTAGGCACGAACTTGCCCCCAGGCTTCTCCCAGGCCACCTGGGTCCCCGTCCTCATTTCTGTTTATTCCTCCTGCACGAGGGTCCCGGGGCTGGCAGCACCGCCTGGCCCAGGCGTCGACCTCGCGATCGGACGCCGCGCGTGTGGGTGACCGCGTCCCTGAGGCGCTGCCCGGGTGCTCGGGATGCACGCAGGGCGGCTCTCCCTCCTACCTTGTCATCCTACTGTCTAATCCGGGGACAGCTTCCCTCCTCCACACCAGCGAGGCTGCTTCCCAGATGCAATCCCCGCGCACCCGTGAATCCCGGCGCCGGACACCTGGAGCACCCGGAGGTTAGCGGAGCCTGTTTTCGGTAACAAGAGCCCAAGAAGCATCCTGCAGGCTTTCTGCTTTTTGAGTGTATTTTAAAGCGAAAACGGGTGGAAAGCTATGTATGCTCAGTTAACTATGTCTAGATGTAAGCGTTTTTTAAAAAAAAACACAGATGGAGGCCTCCCTCCGAGGATGCCTGGGATTCTCCTCTTTCTGTGGGCGGCAGCGACCCCCCTGCGGCTCTAGCCTCCACTAAGGGATCTGCGGGGAAGACACAGGGAAGACCAACTCCGCACACTGGATTTGATTAATGATTTATTTTGATTAACGCCGTCACAGTGACGCCTTGGCGTAGTCCCTGTTCACCCGGGTCCCAGCCTCAACCCCGCACGGACCGCGAGGGTGGGTAGCTGGGGAAGGACGCAGGAAAGGGGCGGGGCGGGGCCTGGGGTGGGCGGGGTCTGGGGGCGGGGCCCGGGAAATTCCCCGGCGCGGGCAGGGAGCGGCTGGCGGTCAGCTGAGCGGCGCTGGGCGGGGTCGCGAGGCCGCGCATCAGCCCGAGGCTCCCCAAGCCCTGGTGCCCCAGCCGCCGCCGCCGGCGCCGCCGCCCCCCGGCAGGTTCCCTGGTCAACGTCCCATCCCGGTCGGCAGCTCTCTCCAGGCGGCACGATGCCAAGGAAGCAGTGACCCTGAGCGAAGCCAAGCCGGGCGGCAGGTGAGCCAGGGCAGGAGGCTGCAGAGGTGGGCGAGGGGGCGGCGGCTCCTTCCCGACGGGCTCTTCTCCAGCCTGAAAACGGTTCCCGCCGCCCTGCCCCGCGGCCCGGAGCCTGTCGGGGTGAGGGTGGCGAGGGGTGGGGCGGCCCTCCCGCGAGACTGCTGCCCTGGGAGGATCCCCAGGCCCCGGCGGGTCCTGACCTGGTGGGAAAGGGTGGGTAGTGAACAGAGGGTGGGTCCAAGAAGCGTCCAGGGCCGGCCTGGCGGCCACAGGTAACCCCTCTGCAGGTCACCCGGAGGCTTGGAGGTGACGTCCTCCCGCAGGCTGGGAAGGATTCCGCAGCCAGTTCCTGGCCATAAGGAGGAGGTGGTTACAGACACACCTGTGGGAGACGTGGGACCACTACTTGAGCTGAATGAGGTGCCCAGGGTCCGTACCACAGAGTGACCCCTTTCTAAGGGGGTGGGAATCCACATAGACTACTGTGTCTAGGAGAGTCTGTACACTCTATATAGAGAGAATATTTGATGAGGCCGAGAACCCCAAAGGAATTGTTTTTGCCATCGAAATGTATAAGCTACAGGCAGTAAACATCGCTCAAAGAAAATGAAACCCAGGTTCCGGCCTGGTCTCCACCACCAGGAAAACTGTTGTATGGAAATGTACACCATGGAACTGTTTGTAAGGATGAAATGGAAAATGAAAGCATAGAAAAGTAAGGCAATGTGAGAACCTCAGAAGCCTTTGGAGCTGGTTAGCAAGGTGCAGGCAGTGTGAACAGAAGAACCCACCTTGCTCTTTTGACCCAGGGAGAGAAGAGTTAGCGGGGCCAGGCTGCCTCCCAGGACAGGTGCAGTTTTGGGGCAGGGGCTGGAGAGGTCCCAGGGCAGACGCCAAGGCCAGGGATTGCCCTGGAGTGGACAAGGCAAGTTTAAATGTGACCTTTAGAGAGAGGACGATCATTGATTTAAGTCCTGGCATAACTGATCTGTTTTTCCACTGGGCCAATTTTGGGTGTTCTTTATATATTATGTACAACACTGTAAAAGTAGCAGCAGCTTTTTTATAAATTAACCTTTAGGTTGCATATTATGCTAGGAATATAACTAACCTAACCTCCCCCGCCTCCCGTCTCCGGAAAACCAAACTTTATTCTGGAAGGCAACTGGACACTGTATTATGTCCTGCTGAACTCCCGCCCTTAGGTAGACGCGTGTAAGTATTCTGGCCATGAAATACACCTTCTGTTTTTTAGAGATTTGGCATATTTGATATATGTTCTTTGGAATTTATGAAATAGAAAACCCAAAGGAAAAGGAAAAATATTAAATTCTTTAAAAAAAACATATTTCATTTAGAAAGAAAAAATTATTTTAAAAGCTTTGGTTGTTACCACTTTGACATGTGTATGAGGATTATTAGCATCTGTGTTACGAAGTGATACCCAGATGACTTTGCAGTGACAGAAAAAAAGCACTTCTAATTTTTCAAATAAGTTAGAAAAGTGGATTTCGAGAATCTGGATGTGAATGCCATGGAACTGTGGAGAAACTCCTAACAACACTAGCATGCTGAGTTTGTCACCTACACAGCAGAAAGCATTTTACAGGTATTACACTTAAAAATACCTCATTATGCTATATTTTCAATTGATTTCGACATTTACTGCAAACCTGCTATGTGCCAGTCTCTAGTAAGAATAACATGGAGAGAAAGTACACGGGCAAACGATAGCAGTAATTTCAGAGTGGGCGGAGGAGGTGGAAATGCAGAGTGTTCTTGGGTGCTTGGGCAGGGAACAGTTCATATGACACAGGACATCATATTTAAGCTGAACATTGATCTGTCCAGTGGAAGTTTGCCAGGACACAAGGGGAGCCAGACATTTCGGGCAGAGGGCAGAAGAGAGGCAAGGACGCAGAAACAGAAGAATGCAGAGAACCGCGAGCTCTTTAACGTGCCTTGGGTATGAGTGTTTTGGTGGCAGGAGGTGACTCTGCTGGGTCATTTGGGCCTGGGCCCTGAAAGGCCACATTTATCTTGCTAAGAAGCTGAAAGTCTGTCTTGTACGGGAAGGATGGACTCAGGGGACTGACCTCATATTGCAAAAGAAACCATGAGGGCAACAGGACTGAAATTGACAGGGCTGAAAGTCAGTCATTTAGGAGGCTGTTAAAATGTATTCAACAGATATTTACTGAGCCCTCCCTTCTATGTGGCAAGTAATGTTCTCAGTCCTGGGGATACAGCAGTGGACAAAATAGGCAGAACCCCTGTCCTTTGTGGAGGTCAATGTGGCTGTGGTACAGACAAGATAAGGGCCTGAACTAAGCCTGTGGGGATGGAGAGGAGGCAGTGGATTTTAGAAACACTTAGGAGGGCCAGGCGTGGTGGCTCATGCCTGTAATCCCAGCACTTTGGGAGGCCGAGGCGGGTGAATCACTTGAGATCAGGAGTTCAAGACCAGCCTGGCCAAAGTGGTGAAACCCCGTCTCTACTAAAGATACAAAAATTAGCCGGGCATGGTGGCATGCGCCTGTAATCCCAGCTACTTGGGAGGCTGAGGTGGGAGAATCGCTTGAACTAGGGAGGCGGAGGTTGCAGTGAGCTGAGATTGTGCCACGGTAGTCTAGCCTAGGCGACAGAGTGAGACTGAGTCTTAATTAAAAAAAAAAAAAAAAAAGAATTATTTAGGAGGTAGAGGTGATGGCATTTGGTGACCCATTAGACTTGGGGAAAAGGGGACTGGGAAGAATCAAGCCTCACTCCCTTGGGCAGCTAGGTTAAAGCTGCTGCCATTTTCTGTATATTACTAAAATACAAAGTCACAATATCCCTTCTAGTGTGTAATGATGAAGCTATTTTTACCCAATTAGTAGGATGCATACTCTAAGTTCTTTTTCCAGGGTGATGAAGGATTTAGTTGACGCAATATTAGAATCTCGCCCCCCCTTGTGAACCCAGAGTCTTCATAGAATTTGCCAGTAGCCAACTCTTATCTCTGGTCAAAAATCAAGTTTTCACTGTTTAAAACTCATTTATCCCATGTAGGGATTGAACCTATGAATACTTCGTTAACAAATTTGAAGACTTGGCCATACCAGGGCAAGGGCCTAACCTTGTACCTCGTCCAATGTCCACTGTGGAGAAGTCAGTGTAAAGCAGGTACCATTTGACACATTATGACTTTCTGACCACTAGAGCCATCCCACAGTGGAATAGACAGTGCCTGCTAAGGTCACTGCACTTGTGCTGTGTCATTGAAACACTCAAGCCTGCTCTATAGGATCATGTGCCATCGAAACCAGACAAGACATTCTTGCATTGAATATGTTGGTCTGGATCATCTCTAAGGCCAACTCAGGAATCAGATTTATGCTGGTGTTTACAAGGTCAAGTCATGACTATAATTACTTGATCTCTGGAATTTAAATGTATATACACACACATGCACACACACACACACACAGAGTCAGGAATTGAGATAGCAGATATGCGAATAAAATCTAGGGGACTTGCATTTGACCATCCATTTACTAGGCAGTCCTCAGTCTTCCTCATTGGTGGAATCTTGACAAATCCTGTGCTCAATTAATTCATCCTTCCATCATTAAATATCACTTTTGCTTAGAAAGAACATACTTCACATCTAGGTCAGTTGATTATGGGAAACTCTGTTATTAGATAGAATCTTAGAATAAATGGCTTAGTTCCAGTTTCTGTAACCTTCGAAGACATGTGCAAGGATATTGTCTTTCATCAGTTGAACATAGCTCAAGGTGATGTTAAAAACAGAGAATGAAGCTTTCTGTAACTGGCATTCCACCAATAGATATTTCATATGTGCACTGCACAGTGATAGCTCATAGTGATGCCCTAAGATAACCTAAGAATTATGAAGTGCCTGTTGAGTCATCCAAAATCAAATTACTTTTTTTTTTTTTTTGAGACAGAGTCTCACTCTGTCACCCAGGCTGGAGTGCCGTAGCATGATCTCAGCTCACTGCAACCTCTGCCTCCCAGGTTCAAGCAATTCTCATGTCTCAGCTCCCAAGTAGCTGGGACTACAGGCGTGTACCACTACACTCAGCTATTTTTTTTTTTTTTGACTATTACAAAAGTTTATTTAACAAAAAGTCTAATATGAAAATGTACATGACCTAACTTTTACATCATAGTAAAACAGGCCCTGTGGAGAGAGGACATGGGTTTCTCTGCTGAACAGCCATTTTTTATACCCATTCCAGGGCTTCTGACATGATGATACTATTTCCTCATATTACCACCATTCCAATATTGTTCTGTTGCCCACTGGTCACTATCTCCATACATTCATCTATCGCAAGATTCATAAAGGGATCAAATCCCCACAATATTCCTTGGACATGTCTGCTACCATTTAATTTCAGTGATAACTTCTTGTCCATAAGTCCTCTCTAGCCATCTGTCTAGAACATTATGCTATTCGAGATGTTCAACAAAAGGTGACATTCGAGATCTTCAAGAAACGAAGGAGGGAGAGTGCGGGGTGACCAGGGGCCCGACCGCAGGGCCGGGAGGCGAGTCAGCCAGAAGGAGGTGCAGAGGCTGCTGGCATTAACCATGCCGATGCGCGAGCTTTGCCGCTAATTTTTGTATTTTTAGTAGGGATGGGGTTTCACCATATTGGCCAGGCTAATCTCAAACTCCTGGCCTCAAGTGATCTGCCTACCGTGGCTTCCCAAAGTGCTGGGGATAAGCCACTGCACCCGGCATCAATTAAATTACTTTTAGTAAAATTTTGGTATTAAGTGTTTACATGCTTATATTTACCATATATGCTAACTTCTTATGTTTGATGGCATTTGAATTACAAAATATTTTTTCTAACAATACTGGATATCACAGAATTTGCTGTCATTAGGACAGGTATAGCTATTCATGAGAGTGACTGGCCTGCCGGTGATACTTGGTGTACATGCATTGAAGGGTGGGGTTTAGACTGTGGTCTTTCTAGAAACTAAAGAATATTTTTCGTAGTGTTGTTGAGCTGAAAGCAACAACATAAAGATTACCATTTGCTGGATGAATCAATAAATATCACTAGAGGTCATATGACTTCCTAAGGCCTCACATCTGGCTAATGGTACAAATGCTTTTTTCTGTGGCCTCCCTTAGCACGACCCTGCTTTTTTCCCCATATCCTTATAAAATCCGGGCAACGTGAGAAGTCAGAAACACTGATGTAACAACTAGAACCAGTTTTAACTTTATTATGGTGGTGTCTATAGACTTGGTGGAGGTATAAAAGGTCATGGAGGGGCCGGCACAGTGGCTCAAGCCTGTAATTCCAGCACTTTGGGAGGCCGAGATGGGTGGATCACCTGAGGTCATGAGTTCAAGACCAGTCTGGTCTGGCCAACGTGGCAAAACCCTATCTCTACTAAAAATACAAAATTAGCCGGGTGTGATGGCACATGCCTGTGATCCCAACTACTTGGGAGGCTAAGGCAGGAGAATCACTTGAATCTGAAAGGCAGAGGTTGCAGCGAGCTGAGATTACACCACTGCTCTCCAGTCTGGGCGATGAAGTAAGACTCTGTCTGAAAAACAAAAAAAAGTTCATGGAGGACAAACATCTTAACAATTTTCAAAGAAATGTCTCTTTTCTCCCCCTCTCTTCTTCTCCCCTCCCCTTCCTTTCCTTTCCTTTTCAGAAAAAACATAAAGGAGAAACTTGTGCATATAATAAGATGAAACCAAACACATTTCTAAAAATCTACTTAGATTCTTTTTTAAAAAAAAAATCTGTTAAATATTTTCATGGCCTTTGCAAAATATAGTATAATCACTGAATACCTAAGAAAAATTAAATGTTGGCAAGTAAATGATACATATGACAAGGATTTTCTCTTTTAGGTCTATTACCCAGAATTTTAGTATTCCTCTGCAAAATAGGTAGGAACACTTACTCAGTAAAACCCCATTTTAATGAGATGATTCTTGGTACCAAAAAAATGAATTTTACAGAAAATTAGAAACTGATAGTCTATTCAGATTATTTTGGGGAGAAGAAAAACAGTCTGTTCTAGTCACCTAATGCTAAGCTAAGGAACACTTCTGTATTATACCTGTTTTCTAAATGAATGTGGGTGTGTGCAACATAGATAAAAAAGGTTCAAAAATGAATCCTATGGTTTATCCGTGTTTTTCGCTTCATGAAATTGCCATCACCCTCATTACGTGACTACATGAGAATGACCCTCTTGGTGCTAGCTCTTGTAGGAAGAAGTGGCACAGGCTGCCCTGTCACAGGGTATGGTAGGTAGCTCTGTCTCTGATTACCTACAAGTTCCTCGCACCAAAAGGAGGTTATCAGGTATTGCTTCCAGAAGATCTACAGAAAGCCCAAGGTATTGCCTCCTGTGGCCAAGGATGCAACACCACGTTGGTACATTTGGTTTTATTTTAATTGATGGCTATTAAATGCACACATAGATATTATGACGCAGTTACATGTCAGAAACAGGCAGTTCTCTTACCTCTATCTTCCAGGGACTGAAATCTTGTGTAATGGATTCTCCACAACTTGGGGGTCACACAGGCTCCATCGTCATGAGTGGCTGATGGATCTCACAGAGACCAATGCCTTTCCCCAGTTAGAAATGGGATGCTCGCTTCCAGGTTCTCTCTTCACCCCTTTTGTGCATCTGTGGCTTTCTGCCTGATCACAGTTGTACAGTGTGCATTGTTGCTTGATACCTATTTGTTGGATACATGGGTTTAAAATTATTTTCTAATGGCCAGACACAGTGGCTTATGCCTGTAATCTCAGCACTTTTGGAGGCCGAGGCCAGCAGATCACCTGAAGTCAGGAGTTCGAGACCACCCTGGCTAACATGGTGAAATCCCGTCTCTACTAAAAATACAAAAATGGGCCAGGCATGGTGGCTCACCCCTGTAGTCCCAGCTACTTGGGAGGCTGAGACAGGAGAATCACTTGAACCTGGGAGGTGGAGGTTGCAGTGAGCTGAGATCGCTCCACTGCACTCCAGCCTGGGCAACAGAGAGAGACTCTCTCAAAAAAAACAGAAACAATCTTCTAACAGTAAACATCCTGGAAGTAATAATATGCTTTTTCAGGCATCTCTCTGGACTTTGGCCACTCTTGATCTTTGTGGAATGGGTGTGTAGGCCACGTGTATACAGTGTTAGCGGGGAGGAGTTGCCTTTGCTATGTATTGCTTTATGATCTATCCCCATCAACTCTTGAAGAAAATACATCATTTTCACCAAGTGTGAAGGTGGAAATTTGTGCTGAAGATGTTTACCCGGGTGGTAGGTAACACAGAAGCACGGTGGAGATTCACTCATTTGTCTTGCATTTCTCTGTCCACATGGACCCCTCTACAAAACAAAGTGATATGTGTAAAAAAATTTCAGACCATGCAATAAGTAAAGATATCTTAGTCTTTTCAGTATGCATTGAAAAATAGAATATGAAGGCCTAACTACTCAGTAGTATAATAACTATGTTGTTTTACAAGGTGTGTCTTTGACACCTGGTGGTGCCACTTCCTGGTCTTGGATGAGCTGTACGCCTCTGTAAACCCAGCTTCCTCACCTATAAACAGCTGCCTGGTTCAGCGTTAATGAAGATTAGTCAGTGACAGGCCTGGTGTGCCGAGTCCGCACATAGTAAGCATTCGAAGAATGTTAATTCTCCCTTTCTTCTTAACCAAAAATATAAGAAACAAAATGTAGTTTTAAAAACAGTTTTTTGAGATATAGTTCGCTTACCATGCAATTCACTCAAAATAAGGAGATTTGAATTTGAAGATTTGCATGGGAAATTTTTTTCAGGATACTTTGCCCATGTCTACATATATCCTGGTCATCATGATGTCATACCCTCGTCTCCCTCCCCCATTTCCCAAATCCTCATTGTACCCTTTTATACACCCATACACACACACACACACACACACACTTTTCTGAAGCTAGATATACTTTTTTTTGTTTAAAAGGAAGAATTAAAAATGTTCAAAATGTAACTGGAGAGAAAGTGGGCAACTGTGGGAGTAAATATTAGCAATCGCCAATGGGTTTGTGGGACTCCCGGGGGTCCCTGGTGGGGCGGGGGACAGCTCTGTTTTCAACAGGTGACTTTTCCTCAGGAACTTCTGCAATGTCCCATCAACCTCTCAGCTGCCTCACTGAAAAGGGGGACAGCCCCAGTGAAAGCACAGGAAATGGACCCCCCCATCTGGCCCACCCAAACCTGGACACATTCACCCCAGAGGAGCTGCTGCAGCAGATGAAAGAGCTCCTGACCGAGAACCACCAGCTGAAAGGTAAGCAGGGCTGGCCCATGCATGCCCCGTTCATCCCGGGCCTACAAGAAATGCCGTCCCTTTGCACTAAGGCTTGGTGGTGAGCTCCCTTCTCCCTGTTTCCGTAGGTGGTAGCAGGTGGGGAAGCACAGGATTTAGCTTTTGGCAAGGCTAAATCTATTCTGATATTTACTTTTGGATACAGGTAAAAATAAAAATTGTGTGTAGCTCAAGGAACTAACATAATGAAATTTAACCCATTCAAAAGGAAAAAGAGGCTGGGTGTGGTGGCTCATGCCTGTAATTCCAGCACTTTGGGAGGCTGAGGCAGAAGCATTGATTGAGTCCAGGAGTTCAAGACTAACCTGGGCAAGATGGCAAGACCTCATCCCTACCAAAAAAAAAAAAAAAAAAGCTGGTCGTGGTGGTGCATGCCTCTGGTCCTAGCTACTGGGGAGGCTGAGGTTGGAGGACTCCTTGAGCCCGGGAAGTTGGAGCTGCAGTGAGCCGTGATCGTGCCACTGTACTTCAGCCTGAATGACAGAGAGAGACCCTGACTCAAAAAAAAAAAAAAGGGAAAAAGGAAGAAAGGCTGCTATGGTTCCAGAGTTAGTCCTAAATATTTACCTTATTAAGAGAAAGCCTCCTGGTATCTCAGGCCATGGCTTTGGGCAGGACCAGTGTTTGAACCTAGGAGTAGTAAGAACTTACTTAGTTCCTGGTAACCATAGATATTTAGATACTTGTGCTGTAGTGGCAGTACCCAAATCAACTTTATCCTCTTGGGACTTTTAAGGACTAGAAATGATGTTCATCCCACTAGTCTTTTCTGTAAGCAAAAACCACTTCATCATTTTGCTGCTGACCCTTGGGCCGAGGCTAAGCATGGCATCTTCCGATTCAGAGCCATGTGGTCAAGCGGACTAGAGGGAGATTTGGTTCATCAAATCAAGTCCACTTTCCTAATGTGTGACCCCATCATTCTGAACCTGCAGAAGCCATGAAGCTAAATAACCAAGCCATGAAAGGGCGGTTTGAGGAGCTTTCGGCCTGGACAGAGAAACAGAAGGAAGAACGCCAGTTTTTTGAGACACAGAGCAAAGAAGCCAAAGAGCGTCTCATGGCCTTGAGTCACGAGAATGAGAAATTGAAGGAAGAGCTTGGAAAACTGAAAGGGAAATCAGAAAGGTCATCTGAGGTGAGCAGACTGATCCATTGTGGTTTTTTTTTTTTTCCATAACATTTGCAGTAGAATCTTATGTGTCTAGACCCCTAGATCAAAACCTGTCATGGTTCAGTCTGGATTGGTGTTTTGCCTGGTCTTGGAAGAAGTGCTTTTGCTCAAAAGATTGGTTGCCTTATTAAGGGTCATGGATAATCTCTTTTAGGGGAAAGAAAGTTGTAAAGCTTTGACCATATTGACTGTAGGCAAAAGAACAGGAAGGTTATAAATCATCGTATTGTATTCATTGTAGATGGTTCAGATGGGCCTCTACCTAGAACCATCCATTGTTTTTAGTTTCTGTCTTTGATATTAAAAATGTGTTTAGCCGGGCGCGGTGGCTCACGCCTGTAATCCCAGCTCTCAGGGAGGCAGAGGCGGGAGGATAGCTTGAGCCCAGGAGTTCGAGACCTGCCTGGGTAATATAGCGAGACCCTGTTCTCCACAAAAAGGTAAAAAAAAAAAAAAAAAAAGACAAAAAAAAATGTGTTTAAAAAATTCATTACTCAGAATTTTTACTTGTTGACCTTGTCTGTCAGTCTAAAATGGAGATTATCCACTTTACATTTTCCTTTTTAAAAATGTTTTGGAAAATGTCCTGTTGTGGTAAGAGGCTATCGCGTTGCCACAGATGAAAAGAGAAAGAGACACATTTTTCTGGACCCAAAGGACCTGGAAAAACGTGCTCATACCTGGGAGTGGATGTCAAAGGCGTTAGTAATGACACAACCCAGAACACGTTTGAAGTCCCCACGGGGCGTGGTTTGTTAAGGAGGCCTCTGCTGTCCATGCCAGGTGTGGGGAGAAGGGGCGTGTGTGGGTATTGATGGGAGGAAAAGGGCAGGAGGTTGGGTGGTGAGAGCTCTTTTTCCTTCCTTTCTGGAATTTTAGACAACAGTTTATGAGTCCACTATTGCCAAACTGTGGTTGATTATTTCTGTAGTATCAGATTATTCCAGCATGGCAAGGAAGGCTTTCTTTCTTGTCATAAAGTCACTTTAAATTTTGATTATTTGAATACAATAAAATAATGTAAAAATTTCCACTTTAAATGTTATATCAAAATAAAGTGTCAGCTAGGTGCAGTGGCTCACACTTGTAATCCCAGCACTTTGGGAGGCTAAGGTGGGTGGATCACCTGAGCTCAGGAATTCGAGACCAGCCTGGCCAACATGGTGAAACCCCGTCTCTACTAAAAATACAAAAATTAGCCGGGCGTGGTGGTGCGTGCCTGTAGTCCCAGCTATTTAGGAGGCTGAGGTAGGAGAATAGCTTGAACCTGAGAGGCGGAGGATGCAGTGAGCTGAGATCGCGCCATTGTATTCCAACCTGGGCGACAGAGCGAGACTCTGTCTGGGGAAAAAAAAAAATTGTCAGGTAAAAGCTGGAATTTTCTACATTAAAGCACAGGGCATAAAGGTGTTGAGAAAATTCCTTGTCAGTAGGTGTGGGGGCAATTGAGTCGCATGGCCAGGTCCTTAGTTTGATTTGTATTTGTTTTTTGGCTTTTTTTTTTTTTTTGAGGTGGAATCTTGCTCTGTCGCCCAGGCTGGAGTGCAGTGGCGTAATCTCAGCTCACTGCAAGCTCTGCCTCCCGAGTTCATGCCATTCTCCTGCCTCAGCCGCCTGAGTAGCTGGGACTACAGGCGCCCGCCACCACGCCCAGCTAATATTTTTGTGTTTTTAGTAGAGATGGGGTTTCACCGTGTTAGTCAGGATAGTCTTGATCTCCTGACCTTCATGATCTGCCTGCCTTGGCCTCCCAAAGTGCTGGGATTACAGGCATGAGCCACCGTGCCCCGCCTGGCTTTTTTTTTTTTTTTTTTTTTTTGAGACAGGGTCTTGGCAGTCTTGAACTCCTGGGCTCAGGCAGTCTCCCTGCCTCAGCCTCCCAAGTAATGGGGACTACAGGTGTGCGCCACCACACCTGGCTAATTATTAAATTTTTTGTAAAGATGGAGGTCTTGCTATGTTGCCCAGGCTGGTCTCAAACTCCTGGCCTCAAGGGATCCTCCCAAAACTTCAGCCTCAGCCTCCCAAAACTCTGGGATTACAGGCATGAGCCCATGGTGCTGGTCCTTAGTTTGATCTGTTCATTCACTTTACTCCTTGTCATCTCCAGGACCCCACTGATGACTCCAGGCTTCCCAGGGCAGAAGCGGAGCAGGAAAAGGACCAGCTCAGGACCCAGGTGACGAGGCTACAAGCAGAGAAGGCAGACCTGTTGGGCATTGTGTCTGAACTGCAGCTCAAACTGAACTCCAGCGGCTCCTCGGAAGACTCCTTTGTTGAAATTAGGATGGCTGTAAGTTTTTGGTTTTATTTTTGTTTTGAGCAAACTATAAAGCCTCACCTGGAAAGATGAAACAAATACCACTTTTTCTTGTCAACACAAGCCAAGGATTGAAGAAATTCCAGTGTAGCAAAGATAAATTGGCTCTCATTTTTTAAGTATAGCATAATGCATATAAGGGTTGCGATAGCTAAAATGGAAAAATATTAATTACCTTTTATGATGAAAGATGTAGTCTTTTCTTTTCATCATGTCCTGGCAAATTGAACATTTTTGTGACTGACCTGAAAAGGAAAAAACCCACACAAGCATGAACTTTCTGTCATTTTTCAAACTAGATTTCAAAGCTGTATTCCGCAGTTCACTTAAGGGAGCTGCAAACATGTTTTTAACAACAGAACCCTCTTTTTTGTTTTGAGATGGAGTTTCACTCTGTCCCCCAGGCTGGAGTGCAGTGATGTGATCTCAGTTCACTGCAGCCTCTGCCTCTGGGGTTCAAAAGATTCTGGTGTTTCACCCTCCCAAGTAGCTGAGACTACAGGCACATGCCAGCACACCTGGCTAATTTTTTGTATTTTTAATAAAAAAGACAGGGTTTTGCCATGTTGGCCAGACTGGTCTCAAACTCCCGGCCTCAAGTGATCCACCCGCCTCGGCCTCCCAAAGTGCTGGGATGACAGGCGTGAGCCACCGCGCCTGGCCAACGGAACCCTCTTTTCAAACGAAGTGGTACAAGGAACGCTGGTGTATTAAAAAGAAGAAAAGGAGAAAAGAAAGAGCAGAACTGCTCTGGTTGTAGGTTGAGGGAGTGTCCTGGCTTTTCCTTCCCTTTCCACAACAGCTACTCAGGAGCCTCTGAGAACTGAGTTTGAAGCCATTGCTATCAAAATCAAATGTCTCCGCAACCCAAAATGAAGTGGGCTAAGTGAGGAGGCCCTAAGCTCTTGAGAAGCATCTGTTACAACTGTGCCTGGCTGCAGGGACAGCCCTATTGAAGAGCAGAGCAGGTCGATGCACCAGGTGGGGGCCTCTCCTTCACTGTGTTAACAAAGATTAGATAGGGAGAAAGATAAACAAGGATCAAATCATCTGCAATACAGTGTAGTACTCACTTTCACTGAGTCAGAGTACATATCTGATACAGGAAAAGGGGCTGGCCGGATGTAGTGGCTCACGCCTGTAATCCCAGCACTTTGGGAGGCTGAGGAGGCAGGATCACTTGAGCCCAGGAGTTCAAGACCAGCCTGGGCAACCTGGCGAAACCCTGTGTGTACAAAAAAAACTACTAAATGTTAGCTAGGCACATTGGCATGCGCCTGTACTCCCAGCTACTCAGGAGGCTGAGGCAGGAGGATCACTTGAACCCGGGAGTTTGAGAGGCTGCAGTGTGCCATGATTGTGCTGCTGCACTCCAGGCTGGGTGACAGAGCAAGACTCTGTCTTTAAATTTAAAAAAAAAAGAAAAGGAAAAAATTGTGTCCCTGGAAGAGAAAAATGTACATTGTATATAAGTCAGGAGGAGTGGGGGGCAACTTGCAAAAAAACTCACCTACTGGTTATATCTGACATATGGGTGTGTGACTATCTTTGTTTTCTGATTTATTTGCTGCACTAGAGTTAGGAAACAGCTCTGAATAACCTTGCCATCCATGCCCCCTCATACATTTTAGTGGCCAAAATCAAGAGAATTAAAATGTCAATTGAAAAGCGTATTTTGTCAGGGTACCCTTTCTGCAAGTGATCGAAGATTACCGAGACAGAAGTTTAACCAAAGAACCTTACGCTTCTGTCAATAACCGATAAACTGCAGGAAACCCAACAGCATATGAGAAGTTTCCAAATGAAGCTTTTTCCTTCAGGGTGAATCGTTAGCATCTCATTCTCCCTGTCAGATGAGTGACAAGTTATTTTTAGTGTAAACATGTTGTGCTTGCTTTTCTTCTGTGAACTGTAAAGCACTGCCCAAGATTTAGGAAGAAATACCAAAAATATCCAGAACCCCCATGGGCCCAAGCAGAGAAAAAAATATGTGTGTCTGTATTTTTTATAATAGATGTATCTATATTTATATTATATAATGAATGGATTATATGTAATATAATATATATTAATTATATAATTAATACATAATTATATAATTACATATTTAACATATATTTATATGATATATAATCTATATTTCTATATCTAAATATGTATCTAAATATATATATTTATATGCATATATATAGGGAACCATCTTTGTGCATTTTTGAAGATTTTCCCTGGGAACTTAATGGAATATAAATGTCTTTCAAATCCTGTGGGTCTTGGACTTCTTGTTCCCTAAGTGACCTGCGGTGCATACAAATTTCTAACGGGAACCAACTTGGCCAAGATGGCGCTTTGTGAATCTCATTCACAGAAACTGCCTCTTTTTTAACTTTACCTCAGTGAGTTCTAGCATTTTGCGTTTTAAAGGACCGTCTGAGAAGGATATGTGGAGTTGTCACCAGCTCTGCATGACCTTAACCTTGAGAAAGAGGGAACTGCCAAGGAAAGGGAGGAGCAGATAAGCTTTCATGTTTACGGAGTCGGGTAGAATGTGTATGGCGAGAGGAAACTGACCTTCACGCCGTAGCCGGGATATTTATAATCCCAACAGGGTGCGCCGGGTGAGGGGAGGGTACGTTTCCATTCCATTGGAGCCACCCGGTTTAATCTGAATGTCTGGAGGGGTCCTTGGGTTGCATGTCACAAAAATTCATCTTTTGTCTTTTTTTTTCTTTTGACAAACAATTTGTCTCCCAGACGTATTGTGTTAAACCCCTTGCGTTTCTGTTTTTACAGGAAGGAGAAGCAGAAGGTTCAGTAAAAGAAATCAAGCATAGTCCTGGGCCCACAAGAACAGTCTCCATTGGCACGTATGTGAAGGAAGACTCGGGCTGCCAGGCAGACCGGCTGGGCAGGCTTGTCACTGGGAGCTTATCACTGGGTGCTTGTCACTGGAGGTCAAATGTAGTGACTTGAGGAAGTAACTTCTTTATGATTTATATCAGGATCTTTCAAGAATATTTGGTTTGAATGCTATTTAATGTTGCAGCTCAAGCTGGCAGAGATTAAAAACTGTTTGATTCCCATTTGGCCCACACTGACTGTTCTGTTCTAGTGGTGTCTCACCAGCAGACGAAAAGTGAAAGCAAACTGGTTCTTAGTCAAACCAATGAGACATGTTTGCTCATTGGTTCCCCAGTGCCGTTTGACCCAGACCAGCCTGCCCAGCTTCCATAAGTGAAATATTTTCATTTTCTTTTCCCTGCTACTCCCCAGTTATAAGCTGGCATGACTAATACTGGAACATCTTTTGTAACAATGACCGATAGCACTCTCAGTCACCGTGGATGTCGCCTGAAAGGACCCAGATTTCTTATCTGTGGAGTCTCAAGTGTACCTGTCCCATGTAGATGTGAGGAAACAGATGTCTTAAATAGTGGCAGGGCCTTGGGGAGGGAGGCAGACCTAGAACTGAGTGCCTGAACCTCTTGACTCTTACAAGCAGTGCTCACCAAGGAGACTGCTAGCTTGCCATCTGCAAGCCGCTTACCCCTGTGATCATCTATTCAAGAGACGATTGTCTGAAAAGATCTCTGAGGATCTTTTTTTTTTTTTTTTTTTTTTTTGTTATTGTTGAGACAGAGTCTCGCTTTGTCGCCCATACTGGAGTGCAGTGGCCGGATCTCAGCTCACTGCAAGCTCCGCCTCCCGGGTTCACGCCATTCTCCTGCCTCAGCCTCCCGAGTAGCTGGGACTACAGGCGCCCGCCACCTTGCCCGGCTAGTTTTTGTATTTTTTAGTAGAGACGGGGTTTCACCGTGTTAGCCAGGATGGTCTTGATCTCCTGACCTTGTGATCCGCCCGTCTCGGCCTCCCAAAGTGCTGGGATTACAGGCTTGAGCCACCACGCCCGGCCGAGGATCTCTTATCTCATATTTTTTTTTTGTTTGTTTTGTTTTGTTTTGTTTTTTGAGATGGAGTTTCACTCTGCCACCTAGGCTGGAGTGCAGTAGTGCAATCTTAACTCACTGCAACGTCCGCCTCCCAGGTACAAGCGATTCTTCTGCCTCAGCCTTCCGAGTAGCTGGGACTCCAGGTGCCTGCTACCACGCCCAGCTAACTTTTTGTGTTTTTAATAGAGACAGGGTTTCACCGTGTTGACCAGGCAGGTCTTGAACTCCTGACCTCAAGTGATCCGCCTGTCTCAACCTCCCAAAGTACTGCATTTATAGGCGTGAGCCACTGCGCCTGGCCATCTGATAGATTTTTAAAACCTTCTTTATGTAACTTGATGAACGTGCATGTAGAATGACTTCCAAAATGTGAAAAAAATTGTCTTCTATTATGTTTCTAAGCCCTTGTATGAGGAAGAAAGTAAGTATTAGATAATATTCTTTCATCAGAGTAATTGGCATAAACGAAAGTAATTCCCTTTTTTGGTTAAAAATTCTTCACGTTTCCCCCAAATTGCTTTTTTAATATTCAAAGACGTTCCTGGAAGTAGTGGCAAATAAAAAAGTCCTGGTTGAAATTTCAAAGCCACTTCCTCATCATTCATATCCAGATGCAAAGACCACTTCCTCTTTAAGCCACATGGCTATTTTAAAAATAACAGCTCTTTACCATTTGTGAGTATCGTAATTACTCTGAGATTGATTTCCAGGTTTGGAGTTGGAGCTTCAGAGTCCTGGAAACTGGGATTTAATTCTGGCTGTTTATTAGCTATGTGAACCCGAGTTGGTGACTCAGAGTAGCTGCCGTTAGCATCATCATAGTCATCCCTCATGTTTTGTAACAGTGATCATGATTTTGTTTGTCACTGATATGTCTCTTGATTTAGTCAGATACTGAAATTGAGAAAAATACTTGACATATCATAGCGCCTCCCTTTCTCTGCTCTCATTTGAAACCACAAGTGAAAAAGGTTTTCTCCCCTTGACTTAAGCTGTGATGGTCTCTGTTAACTTGGAGAAAGGCCAGTGGTCTGTACAATGTGCCTTTATCTTTTGTCTGACTGCAGTCCCCTTTGAGACCAGATCTCTGGAAGGCTTGCCACCTTCAGCCACGGCTGCTTCTGCTGAACTGTTCCGTGGGTTTTGTGGTCTGGTGTCAGGTACACAGTGACTGTTTGGAGGAAGTGGGTGTGTGCAGTGTAAGGCTGGCCTCTCCGGAGCCTCACTGAGTCTCCATACCTTCCCTAGGAAGCATGGAGGAGCTTGGCACTGGGGGTCCCAGGACCAGCTGTGCTTGTTCACTAGTTGAGAATTAGTTGGAGAATGTTCTGGAAAGCAGTTCCTTTAAGCTGGTCCCAGTTATATTGGGTTACTCTCTTCTTAGGCTTTGGTATTTTTCTGATGAAAACCTTTTAACCTTTATACTGACCATGGCATTGTCTAAATATAGGAGCAGATCTGCAGAGGGGGCCAAGAATTACTTGGAACATGAGGAGTTAACTGTGAGCCAGCTCCTGCTGTGCCTAAGAGAAGGGAATCAGAAGGTGGAGAGACTTGAAATTGCACTCAAGGAGGCCAAAGAAAGGTATGAAATCGGTTAACTTGAAATATGTGTTTTTTTTTAAAACGGCTTTACTGAAGTATAATTAAGATACCATACAGTTCACCCATTTAAAGTATACATTTCAGTGTTTTTTAGAATATTCCCAGGATTGTGCAACCACTGTTACTACAATATAATTTTAGAACATTTTCTCCCCCAAACGGCACTCACTGTTTCCTCCTCCAAGCAACATGGCTTTCTGTCTCTATAGACTTGGCCATTCTGGACATTTCATATAAATGGAATTATACAGTCTGTGGTCTGTTGTGACTGGCTTCTTTCACTTAACATAATGTTTTTGAGGTTCATCTACAATATAGCATGTATCAGTACTTCCTTTTCCTTGCTGAATAACCTTCCATTGTCCATATATACAACATTTTGTTCATTCATTGATCAGTTGATAAACATTAGGGTTGTTGCTACTTTTTACCTATTATGAATAATGCTGCTGTGAACATTATGTACAGGTTTTTGCTTGGACATGTGTTTTTAATTCTCTGGGGTATATCGTTAGGGGTGGAATTGCTGGGTCATGTGGAACCTCTATTTCATATTCTAAGGAACCAGCAAATCATTTTCCAAAGCAGCTGTGCCATTTCGCATTCCCACCAGCAGTGTATGAGCATTCACTTTCTCCACGTCCGTACCAACGCTTGTTTCTCACTGTCTTTCACGTTGACTTCAGCCATCCTAGTGGACGTGAATTGGCATCTCATGGTTCTGATTTGTATTTCCCTAGTGACAGTGATGTTGAGCATCTTTTCATGTTGACTGTTTGCTTTGGAGAAAAGTCTCTTCAGAGCCTTTGCCCATTTTAAAAAATTCAGTTATTTGTCTTTTTATTGGAATTATAAGAGTTCATTTTACATGCTGGATACAAGTCCCTTATTAAATATACGATCTGCAACTATTTTCTCCCATTCCATGGATCATCTTTTCACTTGATGTTATCATTTGCAGCACATTTGTTTTTATTTTGATGTAATACAATTTATCTCCTTTTTCTTTTGTCACCTGTGCTTTTGATGTCCCATCTGAGAAACTGTTGCCTAACCCAAGGTCACGAAGATTTACTCCTATATTTTCTCTTAAGAATTTTGTAGTTTTGGCCAGGCGCGGTGGCTCACGCCTGTAATCCCAGCACTCTGGGAGGCCGAGCGGGCGGATCACAAGGTCAGGAGATCAAGGCCATCCTGTCTAACACGGTGAAACCCCGTCTCTAATAAAAAAATACAAAAAACTAGCCGGGCGAGGTGGCGGGCGCCTGTAGTCCCAGGTACTCGGGAGGCTGAGGCAGGAGAATGGCGTGAACCCGGGAGGCGGAACTTGCAGTGGGCAGAGATCGCGCCACTGCACTTCAGCCTGGGAGACAGAGCTAGACTCCGTCTCAAAAAAAAAAAAAAAAAGAATTTTGTAGTTTTATCTCTGACATTTAAGCCTGTGGTCCATTTTGAGTTTGTTTCCATGTATGTTGTGATATAGGAGTCCAACTTCATTAGACTCTCAGTTCCGTTTCATTGATCTATATGTCTGTCCTTATGCCAGCACCACAATGTCTTGAGTACCATAGCTTTGTAGTAAGTTTTGAAATCAGGAAGTGTATTAGCCCGTTTTCATACTGCTATAAAGAACCGCCTGAGACTGGGTAATTTATAAAAGAAAGAGGTTTAACTGACTCACAGTTCAGCATGGCTAGGGAGGCCTTCGGAAACTTACAATCCTGGCAGAAGGCGAAGGGGAAGCAAGGCACCTGCTTCACAAGGCGGCAGGAAGGAGAAGGAACACAGGAGGCCCTACCACACATTTATAAAACCATCAGATCTTGTGAGAACTCACTCACTATCACAAGAACAGCATGGGGGACCCTGCCCCTATGATTCAGTTACCTCCTCCTGGTCTCTCCCTTGACACATGGGGATTATGGGGATTACAATTCAAGATGAGATCTGGGTGGGGACACACAGCCTAACCATATGAGGAAGTGTGTGCCTTCCAACTTTGTTTTTCTTTTTAAAGACTGTTGGCTCTTCTGGGTTCTTTGCTGTTCCATAAGAATTTTAGAATCAGCTTGTTAATTTGTGAAAAAAGCCAGCTGGGGTTTTACTAGGGATTGCATTGTATCCCCAAATCATTTGGGGAGAATTGCCATCTTCAGGATTGTGTCATCTGCAGAGATAGACTTGTTTCTTCTTTTCCAGTATGAATGCCTTTTACTTCTTTTTCTTACCTGATTATCCTGTCAAAACAAACAAAAAAAAAGTGTTAAATAGAAATGTAGAGAGCAGGCATCCTTGTCTTGTTCCTAATCTTAGGGGGAAAGCTAAGGCCCCACCTTTGTCCTCACTTTCAGAGGTTCCTGGTGTCACTCATGCTTGAGTGTCCTGGAGTTCCCACATTGTGAATCTGGTTGCTTCTTGGCTTTCCCTACTGTTGGCTCAAAGGTTGGCCTTCTTGGGCTGGTAAGGCCCCACTCAGACCTATTCCTACTTTCCATTCCATATTTTCCTACTATTATTTCCTCTCACTTTTTCTTTGGTCCTGTAGGCACATGGCTTTTTGAAAGTCCTTTTAGTAGAGTTTGGGCTGGGAAAAAAATTATATGCATACATTCAACCCATTATCTTTAACCACAGTCTCTCTTGTTTCATTTGGATTGGGATGGCTTCCTGTGGTTATGATTTGGTGTTAAGAATGGTGTTACCTTTTTTGTTGTTGTTTATTCGGTGACTTTTAAACTTAGCTATGTCCTAAAAGGAAAAGTCTTTCCTTCTCTACTGAATTCTTATAAATGAGATACCATGTTCATGGAAAACACATGCATCCACGTGTGTAAACACACACAAAAACAATTTCAAAAACATTGCTGTATAGTACAGTTCCATGAAAACAGATGGTGTTCAAGATGAGTTACAATTGCCTTTTACCCTCTGTGTGTATTCATCTGTGAATCAATTCTAGCCAATTTTAGGATGAAAAATAAAACTAATGCTAATATAGTGAATGTGTAGAGATTTTGAAAACCCCTGATCCTTTATCCCAGTTGTAAACAATGTTCTTTTTAGTGCTTCTGTAATTGCTATTTCTCTTAAAGCCAAGGAGAAAGTAACTTTTCTACCTTCTGTGATTTTCCAGAGTTTCAGATTTTGAAAAGAAAGCAAGTAATCGCTCTGAGATTGAAACCCAGACAGAGGGGAGCACAGAGAAAGAGAACGAGGAAGAGAAAGGCCCAGAGACTGTGAGTCCTAAGATTCCACGGCCACTGTCACACCCACACACACGAGAGTAGTCCAGCCACTGAATTCGAATCTCGTGATGTGTTATTTGCTTTAGAAATGTAGAAATCATGTTGATGTTGAATATTATCTGTTTATTCCTTTTATATTCCCTTGTCCTGGTCTGTGTCAATTGTAGCAAGATGTATTTCTTTTTTTTTTTTTTTTTGAGACAGAGTCTCACTCTGTCGCCAGGCTGGAGTGCAGTGGTTCAAGCAGTTCTCCTGCCTCATCCTCCCAACTAGCTGGGATTACAGGCACCTGCCACCATGCCCGGCTAATTTTTGTATTTTTAATAGAGACAGGGTTTCACCATGTTGGCCAGGACGGTCTCGATCTCTTGACCTCGTGATCCTCCCACCTCAGCCTCCCAGAGTGCTGGGATTACAGACGTGAGCCACCGCGCCTGACTGCGAGATGTATTTCTATCAGTATTCTACAAAACCATTTCCTATGTCTCTTCTTGACTGATTTCTTCTCCTCAGTCCTTCAATGAAGAAGCCTACTGTATGAAAAAGGAGGCCGGGCGCGGTGGCTCAAGCCTGTAATCCCAGCACTTTGGGAGGCCGAGGCGGGTGGATCACGAGGTCAGGAGATCGAGACTATCCTGGCTAACATGGTGAAACCCCGTCTCTACTAAAAATACAAAAAACAAGCCGGGCGTGGTGGTGGGCGCCTGTAGTCTCAGCTACTTGGGAGGCTGAGGCGGGAGAATGGCGTGAACCCGGGAGGCGGAGCTTGCAGTGAGCCGAGATCACGCCACTGCACTCCAGCCTGGGAGACACAGCGAGACTCCGTCTCAAAAAAATAAAAATAAAAAAAAAAAAAAGAAAAAGGAATTTTGTCCACTTTGTAATGAGATAATTTGAGGATATGAGTCAGAAATGTGAGGGAGAATTGAAAGATTTGGGTTCTATCCCTTTACTGGTTTGAATAAAGTAGTTCGAAAGAGAAAGGTTCAGTGTTGTCTTGTTCAGTATTGTCTTATTCAGTATTGTCTGGTAATTGAGAGGTGCCTTTGAGTCTGCAGAGTCTTCAGCTTAGGGAAGTTAATGAAGCCGTGAAGGTTGATGGCCATAGTGGCGCACGTGAAAGGCATTTACATAAAATACTCACTTTAGGTAATTAATTTATTCAACAAATATGTACGTTGAATGCCTACCATATGCCAGGAGATTGAGACCTTACTGTTGAAAGGAGAGAGAACATTTAGAAAACAGATGAAGAGACCACCAGTGAATAATAGTTCTCTGTTTGACTAAAACTAATTCAGCAGCCAGTAGCAGGGAAGTATGGTCTTTCAAGGCATCAGAAACTCATTTACAAAAATTATAGAGCTTCCAGGAAAAAAGCCGCACAACAAAAATAGTTGAGTAAACTAGAAACATACACTGGGAAGGGAGTATGGGGGCAAGTTGTTAGCTGGATACATAGGACTGTGCTTTGACACCTCTGTGGTCTGTGATCTCTGAACCTGGAATAGGGGGTTTTTTTGGAAATGGAGTCTCGCTCTGTTGCCCAGGCTGGAGTGCCGTGGCGCGATCTCAGCTCACTGCAAGCTCCGCCTTCCAGGTTCACACCATTCTCCTGCCTCAGCCTCCTGAGTAGCTGGGACTACAGGTGCCCGCCACCACGCCCGGCTAATTTTTTGTATTTTTAGTAGAGACGGGGTTTCACCATATTAGCCGGGATGGTCTCAATCTCCTGACCTTGTGATCCACCCGCCTCGGCCTCCCAAAGTGCTGGGATTACAGGCGTGAGCCACCGTGCCTGGCCAGGGTTCATTTTAATAGCGGTAAAGTCATTATCACAGTGCATCCAAATTGATTAGTTCATGCTTTGTTAGGAAACAGAAGTTACCCAAAGCTTAGCAAACTAAGTACCAAGTATCCAAAACATTCTTTTCCTACACGATGTTTGGGGTATTGTCAAAGTTGAATCAGTTCACCAGCCGGGCTTAATTGGCTGCTAATGGCTCGGACTGTTTTCTCCCAAAGAGGTTTGTTTAATCTCTGATGATAATTGTCTATATATATTTGGGATTTCTCGTGTGATAGGTTGGAAGCGAAGTGGAAGCATTGAACCTTCAGGTGACATCTCTGTTTAAGGAGCTTCAAGAGGCTCATACAAAACTCAGTGAAGCCGAGCTAATGAAGAAGAGACTTCAAGAAAAGTAAGAATGCGAGAGCAATTTTATCCTCCTTTGAAATATACATTTTTACAAAGTATACTACTATATAAAAACGTAGGTTTTTTTACTATGTTATATAAAAGAAAAACAGACACCTAATTAAAATATGAATTCAGAAAATACTAATGTTCCAGTTAATGTGTGAACATGAAATACTTGTAATATGAGGGGATGGGGACTGGAGAACTTTAATTCTACCTCTTAGGGGTATTTGTTAAATGTAGGAGCCTGTGTGAGATCTCTACAAAGCTGTGAGCAAATTTTCCTGTTTTTGACTTAAGCCGAGGACAGTGACGTGAATAAGCATAAAGAAAGATGAAAAGAGCATAAAGATCTTGAGTGACATTTATTTATTTGGAAAAAGGTCAATTTCAATTCATCATTTCAATCAGTTAATTATTTCAGGCTAACATGTAGATTGAGAGTTTAGCATTTGCTTGTTTCTCTTGATGTAAGAAGTTACCCAAAACTTAGCAAACCTACGTTGGTGTTGTTCGATTGGATTCATTGGCAAACATGTTTTCTAGCCCAATACGGAGGTGTGTGTGTTTTCTTGAGGTTATAATTCCCAACACTCTGTAGTATTATGGTAACGTGGCAGCTACAACTAAGGACTTTGGACAAACAGACCTAGATTTGACATGTGGGTCTACAACTTATTTGTGTTGGGCAAGGTATTTATTTCACTTCTCTGAGCCTGTCTTGTCATTTGGAAATTGTGTGTTCTAGTTTCTTCTATATACATTGTGTTAAATGGTATGTCTAATGCACTGGGCATTAATGCTTTGTGCATAGCTGTCATTTATTTGTGTTATATTGAAATTCTCTTTCCGATCTTTAAGAAGACTTAGGGGAACTTCCTTTTTCCCTTATTGAATCTTTGTCAGAAACTAAAGTCTTTGCAATGGACAGAACCTGTAACTTTTTTTTTAATATAAAAGATATCTATGCATCACTACATGAGAAGGACCTTTAGCTAATTACAACTCTGGTCTGTGTTTAAATACTAAAGATGTATCTGTATGACTAGTTAAAACAATTATTCAAAGAGGACAGTACTGCGTGTGAGCTTAGATCTGTACTTTTTGATGTTTAGGCGTAAGGGTTCAGAAATATGGTCAGGTCTAGTAAAGAAGCAAGGAGGATTATGTATTTTATTTTGCATTCATAAACCCTACAGCCCTAAAATTCTTGTATTGTACATAACCTTGGGATTTGTTTAAAAGCCACTGAGTCAGAAGGGAGCATTGTTTATCCTCATGAAATCTTGACCTTTCTTAGGTGTCAGGCCCTTGAAAGGAAAAATTCTGCAACTCCATCAGAGTTGAATGAAAAGCAAGAGCTTGTTTATACTAACAAAAAGTTAGAGCTACAAGTGGAAAGCATGCTCTCGGAAATCAAAATGGAACAGGCTAAAACGGAGGATGAAAAGTGAGTGTGCCGAGTCAGAAGGGCGGCGACGGGGCAGAGGAGGGAGACTTGCCTTTTTATACGGATTGGAATTCGGTTTTGAGAATCAGTTTTTTAAAAATTTCTTTTTCACTTATCTGAAGGAGTCCTAGGAGACTTCTCAGAGGGGATAAAGCCTAAAAGTGTTGTCATAATAAAATGATGCTGATGGTTTGCACTCTGTCTTGATCTTTCAGAAAATTTTTTTTTTGAGAGTAAGAAATGCTAGTAGGTGGTGGGATGATAAAGGTAGGCGAGATTGTTCTACTTGAGTGTTCAGAAGGTTGGGAGGCAAAACTATAAGTTTCTATGACATTTTCCCCAGGATTCCATTGTTTTATATCTTTTTTAATAGGTCCAAATTAGCCATGTTACAGTTGACACACAACAAGCTTCTTCAGGAACATAATCATGCATTGAAAACGATTGAGGAGCTAACAAGAAAAGAGGTATTCACCGCAAAAAATTACTTCCATAGCCTAGTAATGAACAGAAACTGTTGAAGATTTTGTATATAAAATAGTTGCATGAATCCTTCACTAAGTCTGGTTTCAAAGGTTGTTTTCCAGTGTACCATTTTTTCTTGCATCTAGGGTTTATACCTTCTGATGTTCCACTTATGTGTAATGTGCTTTATTGCATACGAAGACAGTGTTAATGTCCTGTGGTCAGGGATTAAGCACTTAGTGTTTCTAAGGGTAGGTTTGCAGGTGAGCTAAGAGCATGGGCTCCTCTGGGTAGGAAGGGCCATCCATTTTGTGGAACTCTGCAAGGCCAGCGTGCCTGCTGTCAGTAAATTTGGGACCCTGGAATCATCAGCCAGCAGTTTAAATTCATAATAGTGGGCCAGGTGTGGTAGCTCATGCCTGTAATCCCGGCACTTTGGGAGGCCAAGGCTGGGGGATCATTTGAACCCAGGAGTCTGAGACCAGCCTGGGCAACAGGGAGGCCCTATCTCTACAAAAAATAAAGAGTTAACCAAGTGTGATGTTCGTGCCTGTGGTCCCAGCTCCTTGGGAGGCTAAGGCAGGAGGATCACTTGAGCCTAGGAGGTCAAGGCTGCAGTGAGCTGTGATCACGCAACTGCACTCCAGCCTTTGGCACAGAGTGAGAACCTGTCTCTAAAAAAAGAAAAAAATTAAATAAATAAATTAGTAATAATGCCAGGATGGTGTGATAGTTTAGAGATCACAGAAGCTTGTGAATTAGAAGGAATCTCTGAATTTTTAGCCTTGTAAATATACTCTTTGTTTTTCATTTATTTTATTTTAGAGAGGGAGTTTTGCCATGTTGCCCAGAATGGTTTTGAACTCCTGAGCTTAGGCAATCCACGTGCCTCAGCCTCCCAAAGTGCTGGAATTACAGGTGTGAGCCATCGTGCCCAGCAGTTTGTCACTTATTTATTTAATAGAGTAGTGTTCCTCTCTTTGACCTAATAATTTTAAATTTAAAACATGTTTCTTCTTTTCCACTGACTTCAGGCAGAAAGAGTAACAAGTGGAAAAATAACAGTATCAACAAGTCACAGCCTTATCAAGAGTGGAGTTTGTTATTGTATCCCTGATTTTAGTGTTACCTTCTTGTTTCAGGAACTCATTATTTGCAAGCCACAACTTAAATACAACTTTCTGAATAAGTTAGCATTGCTGATTAACAGACTGGTTAGAGCTGATACATTTTTTTTTTTTTTCCCCCGGTAGAGACGGATCTTACTATGTTGCCCAGACTTGTCTCACACTCCTGGGCTCAAAGATCCTTCCACTCCAGCCTCTCAATTCCAGGCATAAGCCACCACACCCGGCCAGAGCTGATAATTTAAAAAATCAACCTTTTTCTAATATTTTACTGAAATAGGCAGAATTATTTCGAAACCATTCCTAGAATCAATGTTTCTTTTTCAGTCAGAAAAAGTGGACAGGGCAGTGCTAAAGGAACTGAGTGAAAAACTGGAACTGGCAGAGAAGGCTCTGGCTTCCAAACAGCTGCAAATGGATGAGATGAAGCAAACTATTGCCAAGCAGGAGGAGGACCTGGAAACCATGACCGTCCTCAGGGCTCAGGTGAGGCACCTTCTTTCTGAAACCCCAGCTGAGCGAGGCCAGCCCTGACTGTATTCTCGCATGGGAAAGCGATGGTGTTTAGAATGTTTATGATTTTCTGTTGTTTATTTTTTTCACCCATGAATGTATGAAAACTTTAAAATGGAAACATTTGGAAAGTGTTCAGTGGATCTTATCCATTCTGCATTTGATAGGTAGGTAGTTGGATTCTTTCCGGTCTGTGGCATTACGATTAATGTTGCTAAGACATTCCTGTGCATGTTGCTCTGTTCACATGTGGATGTTTTATATTTCTGTTGGCTACACGCCTAGGAGTGGAGTCGCTGGATCATAGACTCTGCATGTTATTCACTTTCAACAGGTGATGCCAAACCATTTCCCAAAGTGACTGGGCCAGTTTTCACTCCCATCAACAGAGTTTTCATGGCTCTGCATCTTACCAACACTTCTATTATCAGTCGTTTTCCTTTAACCACTCTAGGGGGTATGTAGTGGTATCTCATTTAATTTGCATTTCCCTGATGACTAATGGGAATGAGTCCTTTTTCAAGTGTTTTTGGCCTTTGAGGTATCCTCTTTGTGAAGTGCCTGATCAAGCCTGCCTATTTTTTTTTTTTTTTTTTGGTTCAGTTTTTGAGACAAGAGTCTTGCTCTGTCGCCCAGGTTGAAGTGCAGTGGTTTGATCTCGGCTCACTGCAACCTCTGCCTCCTGGGTTCAGGCGATTCTCCTGCCTCAGCCTCCCATGTAGCTGGGACTACAGGCACGTGCCAACATTGCCGGCTAATTTTTGTATTTTTAATAGAGATGGGGTTTCACCACATTGGCTAGGCTGGTCTCAAACTCCTGACCTCAGGTGATCCGCCCACTTCCACCTCCCAGAGTGCTAGGATTACAGGCATGAGCCACTGCGCCTGGCCTGGCTTTTTAAAAAAAAGTAATGACTTCTGTATATACTGCACATATAAGCCCTTGTCAGTTATTTTTGCCTTTTCACTCTCCTAAAGGTGTTATTTGAGGAACAAAAGTTCTTAGTTTTAAGGTAGTCCAGTATATCAGCCTTCTCATTTATGATTAGTCTTTTTGTGTCCTGTTGTAAGAAACTTTTATTACTCCAAGGCCAGGAAGATACTCCCTCTGTTGTCTTCTAAAAAATTTGTTGTTTTACCTTTTACATGAAGATGTACAAACCATTTGAAATTGGCTCTTGTGTATAGAAAGTGAGGTAATGGTAAATATTTATTTTTTTCCTATATGAATATCCAGTTGACTTGGTACCATTTAAGCCATCTTTTCTTAAGTGCTCTGCTGCCCTCTTCATCACAACTTGTGTCAACATGTACATGAGTCTGTTTCTGGATTGTGTTCTATTTTATTGATCTACTCATATATCTTTGCTCTGGTACCATGCTGTCTTATTATAAAGCATCAAACTTTTTTTTTTTTTTGAGAGGAGTCTAGCTTTGTCACCAGGCTGGAGTGCAGTGGTGCGATCTCGGCTCACTCTAACCTCCACCTCCCAGGTTCAAGCCATTCTCCTGCCTCAGCCTCCCGAGTAGCTGGGACTACAGGCGTGCGCCACCACGCCCAGCTAATTTTTGTATTTTTAGTAGAGATGGGGTTTCACCACGTTGGCCGGAATGGTCTCGAACACTTGACCTCATGATCCGCCCGCCTCAGCCTCCCAAAGTGCTGGGATTACAAGCGTGAACCACTGTGCCCTGCCAGCATCAAATTGAATGGCTGGATCATAAGTTAGGTCCATTTTCCAGTTAAATAAATATTACCAAGCTGTCTTCCAAAAATGCCTAACCAAAATTATACTCTCACCAAAAGATAAGCACTCCTATGTCCTCATATTCTGGTATTATTTTAAAAACCTTGGCCAATCTGATGAAGGTAAACATGTTATTTTTTAATATACTAATGTCAGCAGTTTGTTATTCCCTACGTATAGATTCATTATCACCAAATACCCAGAGTAGCTGACCCCTGTGAAATGCAGGCAGTTGACTGGTACTTACAGCTTTAATAGAGCCTCAGCCTGCATTCTTAGCTCTTCAGAGCATTTCCTTGCTTGGGTAACTCATGTTATGGGGTTCTTCCACTCTGCTGCGGTCATGTATTTTCGCCCATTTTAGACATAGGTATTTGTTTTATCTTGATGGATACTCTTGCTCATTCATTCAATAACTCCTTTTTTTTTTTTTTTTTTTTGAGACAGTCTTGCTCAGTTGCCCAGGCTGGAGTGCAGTGGTGTGATCTCGGCTCACTGCAAACTCCGCCTCCTGGATTCACACCATTCTCCTGCCTCAGCCTCCCAAGTAGCTGGGACTATAGGTGCCTGCCACCACGCCCGGCTAATTTTTTGTACTTTTTTTAGTAGAGACGGGGTTTCACCATATTAGCCAGGATGGTCTCGATCTCCTGACCTCGTGATCCGCCCGCCTCAGCCTCCCAAAGTGCTGGGATTACAGGCGTGAGCCACCGCGCCCGGCCCAATAACTCCTTTTTTGAGCACTTATAATATGTCAAACACTGTTTTTACTGCCGGGGATATAGGAATGGACAAAACAAAGATTCTATTCTTACTGGCTCAAAGCTAGTAAGTGATAGAAGTGAGACTAAATCGAATTTAAGTCATACTCCGAAACACCCATGATCCATCACTGACACTGTGAGATGCTGAACCACTCACAATTGACAGGAAATCCCTTAAAATGATCTCTATTACACACTTTTAAGTAACGATAGTTTTGATAGAATATTTAGATTTTTATTACTTTTACTTTTAAAATAATGGATAATAATTTATATCTCAGAACCAGCAAATTTGAAAAGCAAATTTTAAACATAGAAAGTTAAAAATTAGTATTAAATTCCAATACCAATGGAACAGTTCACTCAGCTGACATCATTAAATATTAAAACACTATTAAGTGTTTTGTTATTTATAATTTTAAAACAATTATTTGATTTTTAAAATGTGTTGTTTTGTTTTGAGGCAGGGTCGCACTCCTGTCACCCAGGCTGGCGTGCAGTCGCATGATCGTGCTTCACTGCAGCCTGAATTTCCTGGGCTCAGGGGATCCTCGTGCCTCAACCTCCCGAGTAGCTGGAACTACAAGTGCATGCCATCATGCCCAGCTAATTTTTTGTATTTTTAGTAGAGTTGAAGTTTTGCTATGTTGCCCAGGCTGTCAGCAGGAGGCCTCACTTCCTCGCCATGTGGTCCCCTCCAGAGGGATGCTTGGGTGCCCTCATGTCGTGACAGCTAGCTTCCCCCAAAGCAAGTGATCCACCAGAGAGCAAGGAGTGACAGTGTCTTTTGTGACCTAGTCTCAGAAGCCGTACACCATCACTTCTGTAGTATCCTAGAGGTTACACAGATTGGCTTTATTCACTGTGAGAGGGAAACATACAAGGTGATAAATACCAAGAGGCAAGGATCACTGGAGCCATCTTAGGAGGCTGGTGACCACACAGGGGACGTGGATTGAATATGGAAAAGTCCATGGGAAATGGTCTTCTGTCAGGTTCAAATGCTGATTTGGCCGCTTAACAAATTTTCCCAAGATGAAGAGCCATTAAGTTTGTAAAATGAGGATAGCAAGTCTATATTCTCAGGATTTTTTCATAAGGTAAAGTAAGATAGTAAATGTAAAGCACCCAACATAGGACCCCACACATGTTTGGAATTTAATAAATAGCGTCTATTTGTGATGATGATTCTTTTAAATTTAGCTTAAGACCAGCCTTCATAAATACACTTGGCAGAATGAACAAACCATTTACTGTATTAAGTTGATCCTGAATTGTTTATTATCTAAAAGTCCAGATAATTTTGCTGAATTAATGGTACCTACAGTATTTAAACTACCTATATCAGTGCAGTTGTGGGATTTGTGTTGTTTAAAGCACACACACAAACACAGCTTGTATCTGCTATTGGAATGTACCTGGAAAGTCATGGTCATATACTGTTTTCTCACAGGATGATGCATCTGTGATTCACAAGCGCTACTGTTCAATAAGGATACAGCACTACTGCTTCATGGCATAAACACTGTAGAGAATCTGGATTCATCTGGGTACTAACTTCTGTATCTTTTTTTCCTCTAACAGATGGAAGTTTACTGTTCTGATTTTCATGCTGAAAGAGCAGCAAGAGAGAAAATTCATGAGGAAAAGGAGCAACTGGCATTGCAGCTGGCAGTTTTGCTGAAAGAGAATGATGCTTTCGAAGATGGAGGCAGGTAAGGAAAAGAGAGAAGGACCCAGAGCTCACATCAACATGGCTGGAGAAGGGGTGCCTGTCCAAAGACGCTCCTGATTTGAACTATAAGAATAGCTCTGCGTAAGTTGAGGCTGCAATGAGCTGTGTTTGCGCCACTGCACTCCAGCCTGGGTGACAGAGCGAGTCCCCTGTCTGAAAAATAAATAATAATTGCTTCACTTACGCTTCATGTGACCATGTTCCCAACACTTAGTTTGTCTTACAGGAAAGCTTGACAGAGACTTGTGGGAGCTTGATCAAGCTCCTTGCTTTTTGATAAGCAAGGATTTTGATTTTTAAAATGTGTTGTTTTGTTTTGTTTTTTGAGGCAGGGTCTCACTCCTGTCACCCAGGCTGGAGTGCAGTGGCATGATCATGGTTCACTGCATCCTCAGCTTCCTGGGCTCAGGTGATCCTCGTGCCTCAGCCTCCCGAGTAGCTGGAACTGCAAGTGCGTGCCATCATGCACTTCTAACAATAATGTCGCATGTCCCAATGAGCTTATCTTGCCATTGTCATGGATGAAATATTCATAGCACTTTAAATTCCTGAATATACTTTAAAAAATACTGCCAAAAATTACTTCTGACTTTTAGAAATTTATTTTGAGAAAGTTATAAAACACAGCAAAATACAGAGAATAAAATAACAGACTCTACTATGTACCCCATCCTGCATTGACAGCGGCTTGTATTTGCTCCAAATATTTTTTTACTAAAGGAAAAAGGGAATTGTAGATAGAGTTGAAGTCTCCTTTGTTCCCCATCCATCATTATATTCCTTTCTTCCTTTACCTTGTGCTGTTAGGAATTTCGTGGGTAGCTTCCCCATCTGTTTTATACTTTTACATATCACATACACACACCCCTAAATCTCATCTCAAAACCAGCTAATATTGATTTCTCTGTGTTTAAGTTACCAAATGATCACTATAGGTATTGTTCTCCAACCTACTTTACATAATATTGTGATTTTGAGCTCTCTGTTGATATGTGCAGATGTAATTTATTATACTTCATTGCTGTGAGTATTTTGATTCATAAGTATGCCACTTCTTTCTAATCAGTTTCCTGTTGATGACAGTTGGGTTATTTCCTGATTTATTTATTTATTTATTTATTTTTGAGACAGAGTCTCGCTCTGTCGCCCAGGCTGGAGTGCAGTGGCGCGATCTCGGCTCACTGCAAGCTCCGCCTCCCGGGTTCATGCCATTCTCCTGCCTCAGCCTCCCGAGTAGCTGGGACTACAGGCGCCCGCCACCACGCCCGGCTAGTTTTTTGTATTTTTTAGTAGAGACGGGGTTTCACCGTGTTCGCCAGGATGGTCTCGATTTCCTGACCTCGTGATCCGCCCGTCTCGGCCTCCCAAAGTGCTGGGATTACAGGCTTGAGCCACCGCGCCCGGCCTATTTCCTGATATTTTTAACCGTAATTATTTACTTTCACAACGTAGTCTCCTAGTGCCAATAGTATTTAACACTAGAATTAGTCTGGTTTTTATGAACCTTGGCAGTGTAGGCTGAGTCTTTTTTCCCCACTTCTGTTGACTGTCTGCTCACCGTTGTCATGTTTCGGGGTTGTAGAACATCACACGTCGTGTTGCTTTTCATCCCGGCAGGCAGTCCTTGATGGAGATGCAGAGTCGTCATGGGGCGAGAACAAGTGACCCCGACCAGCAGGCTTACCTTGTTCAAAGAGGTAAGTCCTGTGTGATCCTGGCTTTCCAGGGAATAGCTATCCTATGAAAAAGATGCTTGAAGAAAACTTCCACTTCATTCTCTCAATGGATTCCAAATCAAGGCACCAAAAATACAGCACCCGTCAGTCTCATTTCCACAGCTCTCCTATCTCCCTCCATTACCCACCAAATCCCGACCAGACCCTTCACCCTGCCAGAGGGTGCCTGGCACAGCCACACTTTTTCTTTTTTTTTTTTTTTTTGAGACAGAATCTCGCTCTGTTGTCCAGGCTGGAGTGCAGTGGCGAGATCTCGGCTCACTGCAACCTCTGCTTCCTGGGTTCCAGCGATTCTTCTTCCTCAGCCTCCTGAGTAGCTGGAATTACAGGTGTGCGTTGCCACACCCTGCTAATTTTTGTATTTTTAATAGAGATGGGGGTTTCACCGTGTTGGCCAGGCTGGTCTTGAACTCCTGACCTCAACTGATCTGCCTGCCTCCGCCTCAAAGACCTTAAAAAAAAAAAAAAAAAAAAATACTTGCCAGGCGCGATCCGCCCCTCGCCGCCTCCCAAAGCACCAGGATTACAGGCGCGAGCCACTGTGCCCGGCCTACAGCCACACTTTTAAACCGTGTCTCCCTCTGTTCTCTTACAGATATTAGCCAGACTAAATCATCCCCTTGAACTTGTCCTAAGAGCCTGTATTTGCTTGTATTTGTGCCCTTCACATAGACGCCCTTTTCTTATGCATATTCCTGTCTTCCTCCAGTCTCTTTCTGGTGACCTCTTACCCCATCTTTAAAATCTATTTCAAACTCCATCTCCATGAACTGTTTCCATTTTGAACTTCCAAAGTACTTTATTCCTCTATGTTGGTATCGATCTGCTGTTTTACAGGTGTTTTTGTGTTCTAGGTAGATATTTAAGTACTTTATTTTTATTTCTGTTTTTATTTTGAGACAGGGTCCTACTCTCTTGCCCAGGCTGGAGTGCAGTGGCATGGCCGTGGCTCACTGCAACCTCCACCTCTGGGGTTCTAGCGATTCTCCTGCCTCAGCCTCCCAAGTAGCTGGGATTACAGGTGCGCGCCACCACGCCTGACTAATTTTGTATTTTCAGTTGAGACAGAGTTTCGCCATGTTGGCCAGGCTGGTCTTGAACTCCTGACCTTAGGTGATCCACCCACCCCAGAGAGGTCTCCCAGAACAGAATGTACCTTCTCAGAAGCAGAGGCAATGGTTTCATTTATTCAGCAGATACTTTTGAGTCCTTCAGGATGTGCAAGACGCTCTGCTTATGCTGGGAGTCAGACAGCAGAGGCAGCCCCAGATCCTGACCCCTCTTCTCTGGCAGTGAGGTGATTAGAAAGCTCCCTGCTTTAGAAATCATGCTTTATGATTAATACATATAACTTCAGAAATGCTTCTTAAGGCTGCTGAACACAATCTCAAATATTCATACATGTTACTACATCCAAGTAATGTACTTAGAAGCAAATAAAGGTTGTCTCCAAAAACAAACATTTTGAGGGCCAAACCAAAGCCTATGCTGAGACCAAAAAACCAAGATGGTTTGTGTTGGTCCAGAAAGATCAGAACAGAGAGATGCCTGGGAACCAGAAATAATTTCCTGCAGTTTGTATGGATCCAGGACTTAGCTAGAGTCAGGGCTTATTTCAGACATGCTGTGATTGAGGCTTGAACCTCAGTACTACTCCAAAACTTGGGGAAATGACAGGGTGCGTTGTTCCGTCATTCCTCTTTGTTAAATTTACGTAGATAACTCCTGTTCATTCTCAAGGCCCCTCTCAAGTTAATCGGTCTCATCTAGGAGGACTTCCTGCACCGAGATCTAAACTAGGGGCCCTTCCCTTTCTCCCATGGACGCCCTTGCACCTAACCTGGCTAACACTCGTGCCTAACACCTTGCCACGCCACTGCTGCCACATCTTCTGCCTGGCTTCTCCACCACGCCTGTCTCCCAGCACATGGCAGTGTCTCTATACATCCCAGAGGACTCAAAAGTGTCTGCTGAACAAATGAGATGATTGCCTCTGCTTCTGGGAAGGTACACTCTGTTCTAGGAGACCTCTCCTGGGCTCTGTGGATTTCTTTCTCCACATTCCCTCCCTCTTTTGCTTATATCCTCATTTATCCCTTTTCTTCTCTCAGATATCCTAGTATTTATTAGAACATGCATTGTCCTGTACCTAGAACTGAAACCATGTATTTTCACATACCTTGAAACTGGAATACAGTTTAAATCCTAAAAGAATGCATCAATACACCTGTAATCCCGGTACATGGGAGATTGAGATGGGAGGATCAGTTGAGGCCAGGAGTTCAGAACCAGCCTGGGCAACATAGTGAGATCCCATCCCTACAAAAATTTTAAAAACTAGCCTGCTGTGGTGGCATGTGCCTATAGTCCCAGCTATTCAGGAAGCTGAGGCAAGAGGGTCACTGGATCCCAGGAGTTAGAGGTTGCAGTGAGCTACAATTGTGCCACTGCACTCTAGCCTGGGAGACAGAGTGAGACTCCATCTGTCAAGAAAAAAAAAAGAAAAGAAAAGAAAAAAAATCCTAAAGCAGGCCAGGCACGGTGGCTCACGCCAGTAATCCCAGCACTTTGGGAGGCCAAGGTGGGCGGATCATGAGGTCAGGAGTTCAAGACCAGTCTGGCCAACATGGCAAAACTCCATCTCTACTAAAAATACAAAAATTAGCTGGGCGTGGTGGTGCACACCTGTAATCCCGGCTACTCAGGAGGCCAAGGCAGGAGGATCACTTGAAGCCGGGAGGCGGAGGTTGCAGTGAGCCAAGATCGTGCCACTGCACTCCAGCCTGGATGACAGCGAGACTCTGTCTCGAAGAAAAAAAAAAAAATCCTAAAATAATAGGGAAGCAGGTATCATTTGGAGAGATTTTTCTTTATATGCATCATGATGACTTTAGTTAAAGACCAAACACCTGGGCTCATGTCCCACTACATATTGAATACAAAGTTGAACTGATGTTAAAACTCACCGTCTGTTCTTCAAGTGAAACAAACAACACTGCCTGCAAAATGGAACTAATGGAATGATACTTAATTTCCTACTTACTCACAGGAACTGAGGACAGGGACTGGCAGCAACAGCGGAATATTCCGATTCATTCCTGCCCCAAGTGTGGAGAGGTTCTGCCTGACATCGACACGCTACAGATTCACGTGATGGACTGCATCATTTAGGTGTTGATGTGTCACCTCCCCAAAACTGTTGGTAAATGTCAGATTTTTTCCTCCAAGAGTTGTCCTTCTGTGTTATTTGTTTTTCACTCAAATATTTTACCTCATTATTATTGTTTTAAAAGAAAGAAAACAGTCCGGGTGCGCTGGCTCATGCCTGTAATCCCAGCACTTTGGGAGACCGAGGTGGGTGGATCACTTGGGGTCAGGAGTTTGAGACCAGCCTGGCCAACATGGTGAAACTCTGTCTCTACCAAAATTACAAAAATTAGCCGAGCATGGTGGTGGACGCCTGTAGTCCCAGCTACTTGGGAGGTTGAGGCAGGAGAATCGCTTGAACCTGGGAAGTGGAGGTTGCAGTGAGCCCAGACGACACCACTGCACGCCAGCCTGGGTGACAGAGCGCAACTCCGCCTCAAAAAAAAAAAAAAAAAAGAAAAGAAAAGAAAAGAAAACGTACCTGTTCTACGTAGAACACCTTTGGTGGAGTTCTGTCAACTCGCAGAGTAAAATCCTTACCTACCACTCTTCTGATAACTTCAGTATTTTTTATGTTTGGTTGATGCCAGCAGCTGCACTGCTCATGCAGTTAGCTAGCATGTGACATCATGCGACAAAGTTCATGTAGTTAGATGGAAGAAACCTCACTGATTAATTTTAAGAACCTTTTAGGGATGCAGGAACAATGAAGTGGCCACAGATTTAATCAAGAAAAATGTTTTTGAAGCATTTTAAAAAATGAACTATATTGTTATGTTTCTTCATTTAAAATGGATCTATTGGAGGTTATGTGTGTATGTTGTAGTTTTATTTGCAGCCACAATAATTGTACCGAAGTTTTCACAGAGGCACTGTGAGCCTTTACTTAATATCACCACAAGTGAAAAAATATTGGCATCGATGAAATAGATAACATTGACCTCACTGGATCTCTTTACCCATTCACAGTGTAAAGAAGTTACCTTCATTCTTTCATTGTACCCGCAGGCCTATGGGCTTGTAGAGTAGATAATTAATTTCTAAAAAGAACAGCTGCCTATTTTCTTCCTAGGTTAGGTTATATCTTCATAATCACAAGAATTAGTGATTGCAAAATAAAATTTTGCTTATGAATCTTTTACATTGTTTATATATGATTAATATCATCATGTGTATATTTTCTGTATTAAACTCATTTGGCTTCTTTAAGCTGAATACTTAGTCATATATCTTTCATTAGTTCTATGAATATGAGCAAATCCCTTTACTAGAGCCCATTATGTGCTGTTTGAATTAGAAGTCATCCTTGCTGAGAAGGTGAATAGGTAGGGATTTGCCTTGTTTTGTAAGTCTACAATTTGCCAAGAGTGAATAACACTGGGCCAGCTGTAAAAGTAAACAGTGTATTTATGCATTGAGATACTAAAGCATTTAAGAGAAAATTAAAAGATCTCTTTTGTTTAAATTTGTCCTAAGAATCTCTCCTAGACAAACTTGACTATACACACACACTTCAATAAGAATCAAAATAGTTCATTATATCTTCATGCCGAGAGAACACATGATACAAATTCAATAGCAATTTCGATTAAACAAGTCCCCTATCACACCTCAGGGAGAATATTTGTTAAAGACATTTCTAAAGTAACTCTGACATTTTTACTTTTCTTTGTTATGGTTTCTAATGTAAATTTTTTCCCTTATCATCTTACACTGGAGGAAATATATTTCTATAGTCTCCTAAATAGAGAAGGAAACCAAATGGTTTCACATTTAAAGTTGTTGGACATAATTCTTTTACTTTGTTCAAGTTGAAATATCCAGCCAATGCAGCTCTGAAATAATAACATGAATGGACTTATTAAGCTTGTGACCAAATCGTTTGTTTAATAGTTGGAAGAATTACAAATGAAGGCAATTTCATGTAGTCAGTTTAAATTAAGGCTGTTGTTTCCAGCTTGGAAAATAGCTTATAAACTCTGTGCACATCTTACCTCATTTATTTAGTCTGATATCCCTTCAAAGTCTCTGTTCCATGTGACCAGTTAACTATACCTCCTAGGAATTTTGTGTCTGTGTGTGGTAAAAACACATAGTTGAAGATTACACTCTTAACAAGTCTGTGTCTATCCTGGATGGTATTGTTAACTGTGTGTACATTGTTGTTCAGCAGATCTCTAGAACTTTTTCATCCTGCATGAATGAAACTCTCCACCCATTGAACTGAGCCCCCATTCTCCCCTCCCCAGTCCCTGGCAACCACCACTCTCCTTTCTGCTTCTATGAGTTTCACTACTTTACATACCTCCCATAAGTGGAATTACATAGTATTTTTCCTTCTGTAACTGACTTATTTCATTTAACATAGCTCCCTCATTCAAAGCATAACTTCCTGGATGAAGGTTTCAGGCAAAAGCACCTGGAAAATCAGGCCTTTGCCACTCGTTTTCCCCTTACTACCCTCCCCCCAGGCCCCTGGTCCCGTGCCTCCACCTGCTGAGCACCGTTCCATTTGCCGACACTCTCGTGTTATCCTGGGAAACATAAGGTAGAAGAGCCATGGGGACTCTGCTCGAGGGTGGTATAAGGTATTTGAAACCAAGCCTCTTCATTAACCCAATCCACATCACAGAGAGGCAACGTGGGTGCCCCTAGCCCAATGGCCGGGCTATTTGCTACACAATAATAGATTTCTTGTAAACCGTCAGCCTTCTGAGTAGCGGGCACCACAGGCTATTTTTTAAAAGAATTTTTTTGTAGAAATGGGGTCTCACAATGCTTCTCAGGCTGGTCTCAAATTTCTAGGCTCAAGCAGTCCTCCCGCCTCAGCCTCCCAAAGTGCTAGGATTATTGGTGTGAGAGGAATCCCTTTCTCCCCTTGAAGATAAATCAAGCGGTGATGAAGTCCCTAAGCTGTATTTGCCTAGGAAAGTCTATTTCTCTTTCATTTTTGAAGGACAGTTTGACTGGACATAGTATGTCTTACTTGGCAGTTTGTCTCCTTCTGCACTGAATATATTATGTCACTCCCTTCTGGCCATCTGGCAAGGTTTCTGCTATGAAATCCACTGTTTTATGAAGGATCCCTTGTTCGTGACAAGTTGCTTTTTGATTTTGAAATGACTCAGTGTGGATATCTTTGGGTTCATTCTAGTTGGAGTCCTTTGGAATTCTCAAATCTGGATGTCTGTGTTCTCCCCCAGATTTGGGAAATTTTGAGCCATTATTATTATTATTATTATTTTATTTTTTTTTTTTTTTTTTTGAGAAGGAGTCTCGCTCTGTCTCCCAGGCTGGAGTGCAGTGGCACGATCTCGGCTCACTGCAAGCTTCGCCTCCCGGGTTCACGCCATTCTCCTGCCTCAGCCTCCCGAGTAGCTGGGACTACAGGCGCCTGCCACCTGGCCCGGCTAGTTTTTTTGTATTTTTTAGTAGAGACGGGGTTTCACCGTGTTAGCCAGGATGATCTCGATCTCCTGACCTCGTGATCCGCCCATCTCGGCCTCCCAAAGTGCTGGGATTACAGGCTTGAGCCACCGCGCCCGGCCGAGCCATTATTTTTTTAAAGAAGCTTTCTGTCCCTTTTTCTATTTCTTCTTAAATTCCCATAGTGTTTATATTGGTCCACTTACTGGTGTCCCAGAAGTTCCTTAGACTTTTATCATTTTTAAATTATTTTTCCTTTTTGATCCACTGACTGGATCATTTCAGATAACCTGTCTCTGAGTTTACTCTTTCTTCTGCTTTGTCAAATCTGCTGTTGAACCCCTCTAATAAATTTTTCAATTTATTCTTCACTGCCAACATTTCTGTTTGGTTCTTTTTTATACTCTCTTTATGGATACTCTCATTTTGTTCATACATCATTTTCCTGAGCTCACTGAACATCTTTTGAATTTTTTTCAGGTTATTCATAGACCACTAGTTCTTGGGATCAGTCTCTAGAGATTTCATTTGCCTCTTTGGGCCATATTTTCACATGTTTCTTCATGTGTCTTGTGATTTTGTGTTGGGATCCATGTATTTGAAAAATAACTGTGTCTTCCAGTCTTTAGGGACTGACTTCATACAGGGAAAGATCTTTACTGATCATCTTGGCTAGAGATTCCGGGATCTCCCCGACCTCTTCCATAGATCCATCCCTCCAGACCTGTGCCTGCCAATGTTCAAGTAGATTTGCTGGTCTCTTTTTTCAGAATCTGTAGCCTCTTGTTCCTTCTGCTGTCTGCCGGCAGCACTGCGTATTTTCTGGAGCTGCCACAAGCCATCCAGCACTCCTTATCTTATTCTTAGCAGCCTCCAGGTCTCTCTCTAGAGCATTCCAGGTTCTGTCAAAACTCTAAGTTGGGCAAGATAGAACCAGTTCCCTGATAAGCCCCTTAAAAGCCAGAACATCTGACACACGCTCCACTAGTCTCGTTCCCTCCACAAGGGAGAGGCTGGCTGAGCCTGTTGATACAGACTGGCTGAGCTGTATGAACCTCTGTATGCTGCACCATGAGTCCTGGAGCAGTAGCAGGTCAGGTCACCCAGCTCGCTCTCTTTCCCAGTGCCCCCCCACCCAGGCATCTACAGTATGCTGTGTTCTATCAGCACTCCAAGACAAAATAGAAACGAGTCCCTCAGACAGCCTCCCAAAAGGGCAGAATGTTGGACACACTTTGCTCTTCTCTTTTCCACTATATAGGAGAGGCCGCCAAGATGTATTGGCCTCTGTTGGACTGCAGATCCTCTACAGCAGCAGCAAGCTGCCACGCTGTTATTCTCAGTAGTCTCCAGGCATCTATGGTTTATCAAGCCTTTCAGTGCTCAGGACAAGAGAAACAGTCCCCTGGGAAACCCCCTGAAAAACTGGAAATTGGATTCAGGCTCCAACTCTCCCTCCCCAGGGAAAGCCAAGAGTCAGGTGTTTTCTCCCACTTGTTTCACACTGAGCTGGGGCAATGGGGATGGTGACAGAGTACATGCCAGTCCCAGTCTCCTCTTTTGTTCTGAGTGGTCCCTAGACTGGTGCCCTTTTCAGTCAGTTCCTGAATTTAGGCAAGATAGAAACGAATCCCTCAGACAGCCCCCTGAAAAGTCTGCACATTGGGCATAGGCATTAGTCTTCTATTTGCCTCCCCAGGAAGAGCTCAGGAGCTGGGAGCTTTCTCCTGATTGTGCCACACTGAGCCACAGGAGGTGCTATGGCAAGGGGGTGTCACGAGTTCTCCTACATAGCTGGTTTCATGCTCATCTGGAGTAGAGGAGCCTGTTAACTATTTTCTTGATTTCTCACAAAGGGAATTCATCCATGTATTGTTGAACCAGTGTCTTCCCGGCGGGGAAGGAGGGCCTGGGGCTTCCTCTTCTGCCATCTCTCTTTTGTAAATGCTGCCAATTTTCCTTCCTTCCTTCCTTCCTTCCTTCCTTCCTTCCTTCCTTCCTTCCTTCCTTCCTTCCTTCCTTCCTTCCTTCTTTCCTTCCTTCTTTCCTTCCTTCCTTCCTTTCTCTCTCTCTCTCTTTTTTTTTTTTTTTTTTTTTTTTTAGCAGGATAAATGTTCAACTTTAACTGGAAAAGAAAAGGAGATGACTTTTAGTCTGATACTTATAATGCAATATTATTTGCAATTCTGTATAAATAGATTTCAGAAACTTCGATTTCAAATCCCAGTTAAAGAGAGGAAAATTACGGGAAGGAACTGCAGTTCCAAATTTTTCCTTTCAGGGCAGTCAATCAAATTAGCTTTTTAACTAAAAGTAAGATTTCAACTATCTAACTATATCAGAAAAACAGAGTACCTGTGTTTGATTTTGGGTAGTCAAGCCAAGCTTCCTTGCAAATCATCCACATGCATCTTCATCTCTTTCCACTACTTCTCCTCTTTTGTCTCTCTTCCTGCATCTACTGAAACTGTAGGCCAGGTGCAGTGGCTCATGCCTGTAATCCCAGCACTTTGGGAGGCAGAGGTGGGTGGATCACCTGAGGTCAGGGGTTCGAGACCAGCCTGGCCAACGTGGTGAAACCCCATCTCGACTAAAAATGCGAAAATTAGCCGAGCGTGGTGGCATGCACCTGTAATCCCAGCTATTTGGGAGGCTGGCCGAGGCAGGTGAATCGCTTGAACTTAGGAGATGGAGGTGCAAAGAGCTGAGATCGTGCCACTGCACTCCATCTTGGGTGACAGAGCAAAACTCTGTCTCAAAAAAAAAAAAGAAAAAGAAACTATAATTACTGAGGCACACTCTAGTTCTGTCAATTCCTTTTCATTTGGCTTTCTGGACGAAGATAGGAGCTGGAAGAAGACAGGTTAGGAGCTGGAAGAAGTCTTTATCTAATACATTTCTGGTTTCGCTTGACCCGAAGATGTTTTTGCAAGGCAAGGAGATGCCACTGGTTCTGGCTTTGGTTCTACTTGCTGGTTGAGGCTTCTGTTCAGCTGTGTGACATATCTGCATTTGAGGAAGCTAAAGTGCTGAAATGTA